GCGCAATGACTGGAAGTCCGAGATTCTTGATGCATGTATTCCAGTTGGTTTCGAAGTGGTGCAAAGCATCCGGACAGAAGTGTGAATCCCTTTTGGTTGGTTTTATGTTGTTCTGAGGGGCCCGTCCTCCGCGCTCTTGGTTCTTCCTGGGGAAAGTTCTTCTCAGGCCAAGGCTCCAAACATCACTCCCCGCTCCAGCTCCTCTGAGCCCGGCCTACACCACAGCTGCTCCCTCTGGTTCAGAACTCTGGTTTGGATCTAGTCCGACTGTAGCATTTCTCACACGAGGCTAAATGCAGTTCATTTTATAAGTCGACTGAAGAGAACCTATTCAGTTTAGACTCTGAACTTTACATCACTGTATTAATGTGACGCTACTTAGCCAATCAAATCTGTGGATTCATGGCGACCTCCTCCAATTTTAGTTGAATACCTCTGCTATAGGCTGTCTGTGGCATCCACCGTGGTATCTTTTTCTTTTTTCACATTTGCGTCTGTACTGCTCAAAAATTCAGAGATGGGGACCCCGGTGAATAGTGACGGGCTACAGATAGGCTATAGAGACATTATTTATTTAAATTGTTTTTATTATTTTATATTATGCTTGTTCTGGATTCAATGTTTAAGCAAAACTATTCGCATGTTTATCCAGGACTGTAATCAATCCATTACGTAAATAACTCCAGCCAGTTTCGACATCAACCATTTGCATCACGATTCCAGTCAAATATGTACAAAACAAAGGCTGCCTCATGAAACTGCTTAATCTTGTGTAATGATGATTAGAGATTTGGTTATTTTCCCTGCAGCAATGACACAATGGTCCTGTAGTCTGTATCATTTGCAAACACAGTCGTAGGATATATCGAGGGAGATTTTGTTAGAATCAAGTTAATTTCACATCAATTTTGACCAATTCAGATCCCTAATTATTCCAATTCCTTGTCTTTACATTTGGGACTCAGGAGACAGAGTTGAATGTAATATTAGCTCTACTTTTAATCTCTTTTGCTCCGTGGTTTGTTTGCTGTGTTATTGTTTGCTGTGAAGGAAAGTCGGTGTTAAAGAGAAAGAGTCTCATTCATCGTAAAGATGTAAAGACAAACAACCCACATATTTATATTTCATCAATTAAAATGACATGAACTGAGCCAAGGACCAAGGAGCATGTTTATCCAGGCCTGTAGTTAATCCTTTATGGAAATAACTCCAGACAGTGTCAACCTCACCCATTTGCATCATGATTCTAGTCAAATACCTCACCACAAAGTCTTGCTCACGAATCTGCGTTATCTTGTGCGATCATGGTTTGTGGTTTGGTTATTTCTGGTGTGGCACAATGATCCTGTGTATAATTTGCAAACACAGACGTAGGATATTTTGAGAGACATTTCAATCAATCAAACTCATTTATAGAGCCTTTTACAACACTCAAGTTGACCAAAGTGCTTCACATTAAAACTAATACACTATAGAGCATCTGTTCATTTTCTTCCACTTATCCGGGGCCGGGTTGCGAGGGCAGCAGTCTAAGTAGAGACTTCTAGATTTCCTTCACCTCAGGCACTTCCTCCAGGTCCTCTGGGGGGACCCTGAGGTGTTCCCAGGCCAGTCCAGAGACATATTCTCTCCAGTGTGTCCTGGGTCTTCCTTGGGGCCTCCTCCTGGTGGGACATGCCCGGAACACCTCCCGAGGGAGGCAACCAGGAGGCATCAGGACAGATGCCCGAGCAACTGGCTCCTCTCAACATGGAGGAGCAGTGGCTCTACTCCGAGCTCCTCCTGTGTGACTGAGCTCCTCACCCTATCTCTAAGGGAGCGCCCAGACACCCTGTGGAGGAAACTCATTTCAACTAGAGGTGAGATCGGGCCTAAAAAATCCAGCCCGACCCGACCCGGCCCGCGGGTATTAAAACCCGACCCAGCCCGAGCCCGACCAATTAACTTGATTTGCAGGCCCGAGCCCGAAGCAAACCCGAAATGTCATATTTTATTTTTTGAAACAAATGATAATATAGATGTTTGATGATCATCACTTTTGCCAGTACAGCTGTTTAAATGCCTGCTCAGCGTCGAGGTGCCAGTCTTTTTGCTCTCGTATGAAAGCAAAGCGCCACATTGACGACATTCAGCAAAGCCAATGCAAGTTTCTGTAGCATTTTCAACAATCAATTTGAAGCTTTTCCACACCTCACTCTTACCGGTGCGTGTTTGTCTTTTCAGTTCTCCTGCCTTTAGTTTATCCATAACTTCTTGCTCCTTCATATTGGGGACACCAGGTCAAAATAGATGCAGACTTGCGGAGGGGAAGATGATTAAATTAAGAGGGGGCGTTCACGTGTGCAGAGCTCTGGCTCTGCGGATCCTGTTTAGTAGTTAAATAGCAATTACATTACATTACTTCTCTGTTTTATCCATATTATTTATTTTATAACAAGTATTCCTTAGTTTAGTATCCACACATCGTTTTAGCATACATTTTATAAACATATATTTATTTGAAAAAAAGTCAGCGAGAGTGAAGCCCGAGCCCGACCCGACCCTAAGTAATGATTGACATTTTAGGCCCGACCCTCGGGCTTGGGCTTGGGCTCGGTCTTAAGATCTTACCTCTAATTTCAACCGCTTGTATCTGCAATCTTGTCCTATCGGTCATTACCCAGAGCTCATGACCACAGGTGAGGGGAGGAACATAGATTAATGGTAAATCTTCGGCGTAACAGTCCGATACAGCGACTGCATCACTGCAGACGCTGCACCGATCTGCCTGTTAATCTCACACTCCATCCTTCCCTCACTCGTGAACAAGACCCCGACAGCCAACAGGACATCATCATCCGCTAACAGCAGAGATGAGATCCCGTGGTCCCCAAACCGGACCCCCTCCGGCCCCTGACTGCAGCTAGAAATTCTGTCCATAAATACAATGAACAGAACTGGTGAAAGGGCAGCCCTGGCGGAGTTCAACATGCACCGGAAACAGGTCTGACTTACTGCCGGCAATGCGAACACACCTCCTGCTCATACAGGGACCAGACAGCCCTTAGCAAAGGGCCCTGACCCCATACTCCCAGAGCACCCCCCACAGGACACCACGAGGGACACGGTCGAAAGCCTTCTCCAAGTCCACAAAGCACATGTGGACTGTGCAAACTCCCGTGAACCAAGCATCTGATGGAGAGTAGAGCTAGTGCAGTGTTTCGCAGCCGGGACAAAAACCACACTGGTCCTCCTGGATCTGAGGTTCAACTAGCGGTCGGATTCTCCAGTCCCCTGGAATAGCCCTGACTGTGATCCCCTGTAACTGGAACACACCCTCCAATCCCCCTTCTTATACAGAGGGACCACCACCCAGGTTTGCCATTGGCATGCTTTTTTCCCCCACTTGGCATCAGGTTTATCAGGCTTTGTTACCTGGTCCCCAAAGTGTTGACCAGGTTTTGTATTGACCCTGTGTGTCTGTGTGTGTGTGTCTGTTCGCCTGCGATAATTCTGCCATTTATGGATCGATTGTTACCAAATTTGGTACGTGAGTCAAGCCCCCGTGCCCAATGCTGCAAAACGTTTGGTGACGATCCGAGGTCATTTGAGGTCACACGGGTCAGTTGAAAGGTCACGCCATTATAAAAGATATAGGCAATTTCGGCAATTTCTGAACCATCTGCGGATTAAAATATTCACCCAATCATCACACAAGTTGGCACACACATAACCAGGCACACTGGGTGCTACAGGTTGAAACTGGTCAAGGTCAAATATGCATTTTTGGTCATAATTCCGTGAAGGATCGAGCTTGAGCAACGGCAGTGGTCTCAAAATCTTAATTATGTATGTATAATTCTATGCATTTTTATAGTAAAATATGAATAGTTTTCCAGCTAAACACTAATTATAACAGTTAATTTCTCTTTCAGTGTAGCCGTTAAAATTCTAATTGGAATGAAAATCATTTCCATTTCTTGTTTTTCTGGTGATAAACACACTGATCTACAGTCACACAACTAACACATACACAACTCGTGAAAAATGACATTTTGGTTCCACACTAGTAAAACAGACATTCTCATGTGTGACCAACATCACACTAATGTTCATGGGCCTGTACAGATACACACATTGTAGTTTGGATATAATGATCATGTAATATGGACTGGACTCCTCAAACTGCATCTGTGGTGATGAACTGACCCACCGACGCCTCATGGGGACCAGGTTGATGTCTCTGATTACCCTTGTTGTAAATTACAAACCTGTAGTGACGGGCGAGTGGAGCCTCGTGAAGCATCGACACTTCAGTCGCAATATGGTCTCAAATGGTTCGACGTGTCTGAGGCCTCGGAGAAACACTGACCTCTAGTGGACAAATTTAACAATAAGACAATACTTGTGTGTAGAGCGACACCGTACCAACAACAACAATGATGATTTAAAATAATATGTAAAGAGCAACATAAATAACATGCTGTAAATAAGAAAATAGGTGACCTTGTTAGGTGGAATTAGAGCTATCGAAAATGAAACAAATGCCAAAAGTCGCCAAAAGTCGGCAAAATCACCACTAACGTCACACAATAGTCCTCACTATCCAACATTTTGAAGAAATATCGGTGCATCTTTTATACTGTAGCAGTTTAGCGCTCGTCAAACCACGGAAGTGCACTGAACACTCTGAAGCTCTGAACCAATCGCAGAGCGGAACATTCGCTGAGCCAATGAAACGCTTCGATACACTGAAGCGATCGACACGCAGAGCGAAGCAGTCAGGGGGAGGGACCGACACTTCCACACTTCTGTCACGTGAGCGGCTGCTGCGAGACGAGCTCCGAGGCAGCGCTTCCGAGCAATTTGTTTCAGAAAGAACGAGACGTGCTCCTGAGCTCCGTCTCATTTGCCCGTCACTACAAACCTGGTTATATGTGCGTGCCACTAAAGAAGCTGTGAAACATGAAATAATTCACAATTCGTATAAATCCCGAAGCATGAGAAATAACACAAACACAATTTTCACTTTTTTATTGACTACAAATAGTTTGCTGCTATATAAAACACAAACAAAAACAGTTTTCTACTAACAATTCAAACTTAAGTATAAAAACAGCTGTTCTCCTGAAATGTTTTTTTTTTTTTTGCTAAATTTGACATAAAAGTTCTTGTAATAAAACAACTATAAATGCTATATACTGTCAAAATGGTCCATTCAAAAGCACACATTCAAACGCTATAGATTAAAATGCTCTATGTTTTAGCAACATCAGTGTTAATATTTAAGATTTCACACACAACATTTAGTAACGTAAAACAGTGAAGTATGTAAACAATCACTTTTTGGTATAGAGAGACATGATGCTAACAGTCACTTGAATGAAAGATTTTTGACAATGTGCAGATTTAAAAAGTCCTTGGTTAAAATCTGTAAATATGCTGAAGATACAGTACAACAAACAATGTAAAAAAAACAAACAGATCCAGTGATTAAAAAAATACAAGTGCTATTTACAAAAGCCACGGTCTGAGGTAATGCCCTTGTATTGATTTGGTGACAGCCAACAGTAAAATGGTCTTTCAGTTTAAACAAGAAATATGATCAACAGATAAACGTTCTTTTGTAAGTTATGTGCACTTCTGTATTTGGGTTTTAACAAATACTGAAAAAAAAATAAAAAATTTAAACAACAGGTTAAAATACGCTGTTCTTCTTTTGGTGTTTACGAGTACTAAATATAATTGTTTTTCTAATGCAATGTTCTGAAATTCTACCACTAGAAAGGCAACTTGGGTTTGAAAAATATTTTTAAAAAAACTTTACTCCAGACTTTTGGCAGCTCACGTCTTTCGTCGACCATAAACGAAGGCCGACATGTCAAATCTTAACAGTAGGATCCACATAGTGTTTTGCAGCTCTATCAATGGCAAAAATATTTCGTTCAAGTATTATATATGAAACTATTGGAAAAGTTATACTATAAAGTCACTTCTGTCTATAAAAAACTTTATAAAATCTGTTAAAACCAGTTGTGGAACTGAAATTTGAAAATATATCTAAAACTTAAAATGATGACGTCTGTACTGGGGAAAGTTCCCTTTTGTCCAGTTTCAACAGTTTTCAGAAAAACTCTTATATAAAAATATTTAGTCAGTTTCAAGTAATGAGTAAAACTAAGAAAAACAAAAATGTTGCACCATAGATACACAACAAGGGCCATAAAGAAAACAATTTTAAAAACTAGCATGTTAAAGTAAAACAAGTGTCCATATCTAAAAGCTCTATAGTTAAACACTTTGGGTAGTGACAGTGTACATGAAGTGTACGTGAGAGCACCGGTCCAGTGTTTATTCACAGGCGAAGTAGTCTTTGAGCGGAGCAAACAGGTGTCTGATGACGGGCACACTCCAGGACCTGCCCAGGAGCTTCTGACGGGCACCACGCCCCATGTTGGACACGTCTGTGTAGTGCACCGGGAAACCAAAGATCCTGCCACATACAAGGAAATGTGGTTTAGAAAACTGGCAAGACAATTTCAGAAAGAGATTTAACTCCACCAAAAACCTGAAACGGTTCACACTAGGGATGGGCATTCGATGAAATTTCATTAATTGATCGTCGGGAGAATTAACGATCGATTATCGATTAATCATTAATGTTTTTATATTAAAATGATCATCATTATTATTATTATTACTACTAATCTGCATAAATAAATTCAACTTAATAAACCGTAACGACTCTAGAGCCACATCAGTCCGTTTGACATTATCATGTGTTTAATGCAGATTTGTGCAAATCTCACAGAAACTAAACTTAAAACCTCACGGCTAATTTGCATAAACTAAGTGAAGAAAAAAAACAGTTCTTGTGTCGCTGATGTGGTTCAACTTCTGTCAGATTAAAAGACACGACTCAGTAGAATACAGGTTAGTGTGACCAGATTTGCATTTGTCAAAACCAGGACACGGGGGGGAGGGAGGTGGTGACTCGTCATCAACATTGAGCGACTCTCACCTGGCAAAACTTTTTCATGTTTTTCAGTGTCCTGGTGCTTCGAGGTCCCTGACACACTGGACACTGACACATATGTGCTGCTTTGTACACGGTGCACATGGACTCACACTTGTTTTGACCGGGACAAAAAGCGTGGAATTTCTTGTACAAGTCATTGTTAAATGTGCATTTGCACTTCAGCATGTTGCAGACCGACTGTTTGTGTCTCGTTCCTTCTGAGTTACAGACGCTACGAGAGACACAGTTTAATGGCCCAATGAAAGGAAACGAAAACCTGAACATTTGCATCACTTTATAAAAAAAACAAAAACCTGGATGGCCAGGACAAGACGTGGAAAACGGACATGTCCGGGGAAAAACAAACATTGGTCACCCTACGCTACACACAGCAACCTACATTCAGTTTGTCGATTAAAAATGAACGTAATCGACGAAATTCTTAATTATCAATTATCGATTAATCGACTAATCATGACCATCCCTAGTTCACACAGCAGTTTTTGATTTGTAAATCAGGTTTGGAAGAAAGGTCCAATGAAAGTCAATATTGTATTACTGGCCACATTAAATTTTATAAAGCACTTTTTCACCTTCAAGGCACATAAAGCAGTTTTCTTTTTTTCCTTTTTTATTTTGAGTTTGTGCCAAGAGAGAAACAATAAGTTATACTATATATACATTGTAAACCACAGAAAAGCACATTTGTAGAATTAGATGAAGTCAAATAATGATAATCAGGTGCTTTTTGGAGATCCCAAGTGGGTAAATAAATTACTGAATGAATAAAGGAGATCCAAGGCACTTCAATATACAATATACTTCATCAGGGCACGTAGCAGTACACACGCATCAAGAATCTCCAACTTCCCGTCATTATGCAATTCACACTGGGAAGGATTTTCAGAAAAAGTGAGCATCAAACCTCCATGTTTGTTTTCCCAGTGGGATGTGTCTATTGTCAAAGTCGATCTTTTCAAGTCTTTTGAACCATATCACTTTTGTTTCTGGTTCTGATATTGTCATATTTTAGTTTTGGGATTTGGACATCGTAATTGTGTGGTTGTTGGATCCTAACAGCAGAAAACGGCTCGAGAAATGTGTTTGCAAACTCCATAAATACAAAAGTGAATCAGATGTGTGTGACTCAAACCTCCATTCAAACTGTTTCTCTTCCCAACGGAATTGAAAAATAGTGAAAGGTGAAGGCGATGGGCAGGATTGATCCACAGGAAGAACCAAAAAGGAAACATTTGACTGACTAAATCACAGGTGTCAAACATACGGCCCGGGGGCCGGATCCGGCCCTCCAAGACCTTTAATGTGGCCCTCTGCTGATTTCTACTAAAATATTTTAATTATATTTTCTTTTAAAATATTGTATTTTCTGTGGTGTTTATCACAGCAGCGTCTCCAGCGTCTCTGTACGTGGCCCCTCCCACCAGAGCAGCACAAATGAAGACTTGTCTCTTTCCAAACGCTCTTAAAGGACGATCGTTTTGACTGTTGACCGTGACACCCTCATCAGAAAAATGTCCAACATGAGAAAAGTGGAGCCGAGTGCAGGATTTTACAAGAAAAAAATGTACTTATTCCTATTTACAATTTAATGTTAAAACATTGTGTTGAAATTGCATTTTTCTTAAAGTTTCAGATTGTTCATAATATTTTGTAAAAGAAAGAGTTCATCAGTTTAAAAAGATTTCTGTAAAAGATTTGCATTTCTCTGCACAAATATTTGAACTTATTGCTATTTTTGGGGTTTATATGCCTTTTTTTTTTTTGGCCCCTTTGAGATCAAAGTAGGTTGGATACGGCCCCCGGACCAAAATGGGTTTGACACTCCTGGTCTGAATCATCCCGAGTTTGCAGCGAACATTTTGTATGTGAAGCGCCAGTTACTTTGTTGAAATAAATGGGTTACACAGCAGTATGTCCCTGTTTTCACATTTTGGGTTATATTCTTTTTTTTTTTTTTTTCCCCCAGTAATTCCTCTCATTGCTGGACACTAAACCAGGACTAAACCAGGACTAAACCAGGACTAAAACCAGGACAAAACCAGGACTAAACCAGGACTAAAACCAGGACTAAAACCAGGACTAAAACCAGGACTAAAACCAGGACTAAAACCAGGACTAAAACCAGGATTAAAACAGGACTAAAACCAGGTCTAAACTAGGTCTAAACCAGGACTAAAAACCAGGTCTAAACCAGGACTAAAACAGGTCTAAACTAGGTCTAAACCAGGACTAAAACAGGTCTAAAACAGGTCTAAAACCAGGAGTAAACCAGGATTAAACCAGGACTAAAACAGGACTAAAACCAGGACTAAAACCAGGTCTAAACTAGGTCTAAACCAGGTCTAAACCAGGACTAAAACAGGGCTAAAACCAGGTCTAAACCAGGTCTAAACTAGGTCTAAACTAGGTTTAAAACCAGGACTAAACCAGGACTAAAACCAGGACTAAAACCAGGTCTAAACTAGGTCTAAACCAGGTCTAAACCAGGACTAAAACAGGGCTAAAACCAGGTCTAAACCAGGTCTAAACTAGGTCTAAACTAGGTTTAAAACCAGGACTAAACCAGGACTAAAACAGGACTAAAACCAGGACTAAAACCAGGTCTAAACTAGGTCTAAACCAGGTCTAAACCAGGACTAAAACAGGGCTAAAACCAGGTCTAAACCAGGTCTAAACTAGGTCTAAACTAGGTTTAAAACCAGGACTAAACCAGGACTAAAACAGGACTAAAACCAGGACTAAACCAGGTCTAAACTAGGTCTAAACTATGTCTAAAACCAGGACTAAACCAGGACTAAACCAGGACTAAACCCAGGTCTAAACTAGGTCTAAAACCAGGACTAAACCAGGACTAAAACCAGGTCTAAACTAGGTCTAAAACCAGGACTAAACCAGGATTAAACCAGGACTAAAACCAGGACTAAACCAGGTCTAAACCAGGACTAAAACCAGGACTAAAACCAGGACTAAACCAGGTCTAAACTAGGTCTAAAACCAGGACTAAAACCAGGTCTAAACCAGGATTTAACTAAATCATGCTGTGTGGACCGTGTCTCGTCGTCTTCCATCAATAATATTTTTTAATAAAGTTTGGGCTTTTTTATTTTCTTTTATCAGACAAAACTTCTTAGGTGAAGATTTCCTCGTCTTTGCTTCTCTACAGCAAATCAAGTAATCCAAAGTATTCAGATTACATTACTCACTTTAAGTCATTTAATGGATTCCGTTACAAACTACATTTTGGGGTGTGTAATCTGTAATCTGTAGGGGATTACATTTTAAAAGTCACCTTCCCAACACTGGACATTTATGATGTAAATGAAGAGAAATGATGTAAAAATGTAAATGTATAATGTCACCTCTCCAGCTCGGTGCACCACAGGATGTCCTCTTTGCCGTTCATGAGGACGGGGAAGTGCTGGTCTTTGCCCTGTTTGATGGAGTTGGAGCGAGTGGTGATCGTGCGCACTTTTCCAAACTGTCAATAAAAACAAACACTTCAGAGCACAAAACTAAAAACGAGAACAAAAAAACATACTGAGCAGTGGTAAACTAATGATGAAATGTGTGTATTTTCAACCTCACTGTATTTTAGAACAGGACTGAAAAGTTAAAGTATTTTTATTATTGTGGGACCTGCTGAATGACCTTGATTATTTGATTTTTATTTTTCATCTAGGTCATACTTTGAGCAAAAAAAAAAGTACAAATAAAAACAGCGAGGAAAACGCATAATTCTGTAGTATATTTTGAACAAATCTTCTGATGAAATACTTTTAACACTTCAAGTACATTTTAAATAGGTACTTTAATACTTTTACTTCAGTAGATTTTTTCATGAGCATTTTTTGCTCCAGTATCTGTAATTTTACTTAACAAAATTGAGTATGGAAACTATTTTTCGGACTGTAAGTGGCACTTTTTTTTCATGGTTTGGGTATTTCCAGTGACTTATACTTCAGTGTGAATTATATATTAAAATGTTTGAGTGAAGTGTGGAGAGGCTCTAGTCTTGTGAGTATCTGCTGCTCCTGTTCCTCCTGCACCACTGTCACTTGGCTCTACTGCGCATGTCTCCTGCAGAAAGAGCCTCTGTTCTGTCTGTGTCATGTCAGTCGATCGCATCATTACTTCTGCACCACTGAACAATTTAACATTTAAACAAACTTATAAAGACAAAGACTGAGAAGACTGAACACAAATGCCCCCAAAAATAAAATCTGATTCTGCGGATTACAAACTGCAAGTCGTGAAATCTAGAGCTGAAAACGATAATCGAGCAGCAGAAAGAAAATTTGGAGTGAGAGAGAAACTTGTGACACTGGGAAGATGCACCATGAAACTTTCCTGAAGTCACTGGATGGATGAACAAAGTCTGGACGTCAGTGACACTGAAACCATCCTGTCGGGATTCAGAAAGACCAGAATAATTCTAACTGGAACTGATGCTGAGTCTGACGACAGCGACACAGAAGAGGAAGCGGCGCTCTGTTTACCTCCGGAGGTCGAGTTGTTCAGAAGTGACACCGAGGATGAAGAACTGAATGGATTTAGTGATTTGGAGTGAGATGGAGAGTTTGGTAAACTTGTTCTGTTGTTTATGTTCTAGTTTATCTGAAGAACTGTTCATATGTGACGTTAACAGTCTGTTGTTCTCTCTTCTATTGTTTTTACTACAACTTGACTTTCAATTGGAAATGTCGGCTCCTGGTCTCTGATTTTATAAAATAAATTTCTCCCAAAATGCAACTCATGTTTTTTTCTTCTTCTTTATAAATTTTTTGGCTGGTGTGACTTATAGTCCAAAAAAAATACAGTACTTCTTCCACTTCTGCCCTCAAGTAAAGATTTATTTATTTTTTGTCACCTTGGCAACTCTCCCGTGCTCCAGACAGTCCTGCAGTTCGAGCTTGTCCATGCCAGAGGCGCACAGGGGCCGGTTCATGCCAGGCAGGTTTCCCCAGAAGTACCTGGCTCTGTGGGCAGCGGAGACTTCTATGGCGTCGATCATCACTGGGTTACACTGAAAATTAGGAACAATATACAGTTTTGAAGAAGAAGATGAAGAAAAAAGGAAAAATCACAAGAACAAAACGCTTAATAGTAACATTTACAAAAAATAAAAGGTATGACTTTTTGACACAGGTTGAACAACTTAAACTCAGAATTCTTGAATCTCAGAACATGTTTGTATAAACCTAAACTACAGGGTTAACAGTCCCACTCCCGCACACATTCGCAATATTTTGTCTCGCTCCCGCCCGCAAGTCTCGCAAACTGGGGACGTTCGCAATTTTATATCTCATAACTTTCTAAGATATGACAATTTTGTCAAGAATTTGAGTGTTTTTTTTCATAATTATTCAATATCCACAAAGGCCAAAGATGAAATGAGAGACAAAGTTTGTTCTCCTCCTGTAGTGATCAGACTTATTAGATTAAATCATATGAAATATCAGTATTTCAATATTTTGGAACACCACTATTTCTTACTGATGCTTTGAGAAGAAGGTTACAGTGTACGTGTCTGATAACGGACATAACATAATACCGGTATTAAAGATTTTACTTTACACAGTTTCAAGTCTTTGAGTTCTAAATTTGTTCATTTCAAGTTACATAATGTGTTGTAGGTCCTACATTTGTTATAATTCAAGACTTATTGCTTCTTCAAGGTCCTTGAAGTGCAAAAGAAATGACACTTTTGCCATATCTCAGAAACTAATGATAGTAGAGACACAAAACTAATTATTTTTTATCTTATTAAGAAAAACAGATTTTTCAGCTCAGATTTAAGGCTTCTACAGGCACTAAACTCCAGAGACTTGGTGGATCCAGTGGACATCAAGAGAATTTCCTGAAATTTCTCATGGAGTTTTACTTTGGCAAGTGTAAAAGATTTATTCAAGGTACAGATAGATTTTTTAGATTTTTTTCAAAAAGTTGGGTAAATGATGCACCCTAATGCATGTTTTACTTTACACTCATATTTAGTTTGCGGGACTGCAGTTTATCGCTCCACCTGCCCGCTTCCACAATGAGGTTTGCGTCAGGTCCCGCGGGTGCAGGGCTCTAGTTTCTGTGACGTGTCTGGTCGGCTGATTTAAACAGGTTTTGGCGCCGTCTTCCTACCGGTGGAGGCAGGACGACAGCGCCACCTGCAGTCCCACTTCCTCAGGACATTATCGCAGGTTTGTGAGAGTAAAAACCGCGCCAAAACCTGTTTAAATCAGCTGAGCGTCCACGTCAACATCGCGAGACTCTGAGGAAGATCGCAAGTGAGCTGTCGAAATTGTCAAGTATGAAAACGAACTCTTGATCTGAAAAAAAAAGAACCTAATAACATAAATTATCGTAAGACCAAATGAATCTCATTGGACTATGAAAACCTACTGCTTCTTGAAATCACAACATGGAGCAGAGCGTTTTGAGGTTTGGAGATGTACACAGACTAATAATGCAGGATTACTCAAACATGTGAATGAAAAAACAACTCCAGGTCTGTTTTTGAGGAGATTACAGCATTCCAACATGGTTTAACACTCACGAATGTCAATAGGAATAGTAATATAGGCAGAAAGAGGATAAATCACGTGTAAATAGATGAAATGAACCTGACCTCTAAGAAGCGCGAGATGTCCCTCTTGTCGTTGACCCCCATGGCCACCACGTTTTCAAACATCCAGAAAAAGGGGCGGTCCTCTCCTTCTTTGGGTTTGGCTTCGCTGAGCAGACGGTAGAACTCGAAGAACAGCCTCCCTGTGCCTTCTGAACACATAAAAAAACAACAACAACACGTAAATACAAGAAGTCTCCTCTAAACTACACTTTAAAACTGTTCTATATTACGCAGAATTTACTCCTGTGAGCTTTTAGCCATGTTGTAATTTGTGCAAGTTGTGTTTTGTTTCATTCGCACCTTTGAGTAACCTTTTATTTATTAGTCTGTCTACATCTCGAGAGCTCTGTTCCACCTTATGACGTCACGAAGCGGGTGTTTTCGAGTCAACAGCTCCTTTTTAACCTTTACTTCGGCAGAGATTTGATCATATCAGACCTGGAATTGCCAATGTATTACTTAATTATATATAATAAATTATGTAAATGATTCTAGTGAAGGTGTATGGAGTTTAAAAACACAGAGGTGGAACATTTTCTGCTTGAAAGAACAACAAAATATGCAAGGTTTGTGTGTTAAACATGTGTGAATGAAACAAAACACAACTCCAGGTCTTTGTGATTACGAAACATAAAATAAATCAGAAAATAGTGTAAAACGGGCCCTTTAATGAGCTGTTTGTCAATTTATTTTAGTACATTAGATTCGTTTGTATAATTTCTTAGACACAGACGGCAAAACACGGTATGAAAAGAATCGTCGTTTCTCCCGATTTCAGTTTTCAGACACCAGATGTAAAAAAACACAGGCTTTAACTCACCGTAGAGACCCTTTCTTGCCGGGTTGACGATAGACAAGTCGTTGCATGGACTTCCTCCGATCACCAAGTCAAAAGGACCCCACTCCAGGATCTGAAACAACAGCACCCTCTAGTGTTGGATGACCACACTTACCGATGTGCTCCCCATTTGGTATGTACTTACTTATTCAAAACTTATTTTTGGTAAAAATGTGAAGTTGTTGATGTCAATGCACATTTAAAGCCACAGTGTGTACCTTTTTAGCCAAAACTATGTCAGAGGTTTGGTTTTAATTTTCCATTTCCATAGAAACATACCATCTCCATAAAGTCAATAAACCACAGGTGTCAAACATAAGGCCCGGGGGCCAGATCCGGCCCTCCAAGACCTTTAGTCTGGCCCTCGGCTGATTTTCTACAAAAATATTTTAATTATATTGTCTCTTAAAATCTTGTTAATTTACTGTGGTGTTTATCACAGCAGCGTCTCCAGCGTCTCTGTACGTGGCCCCTCCCACCAGAGCAGCACAAATGAAGACTTGTCTCTTTCCAAACGCTCTTAAAGGACGATCGTTTTGACTGTTGACCGTGACACCCTCATCAGAAAAATGTCCAACATGAGAAAAGTGGAGCCGAGTGCAGGATTTTACAACAAAAATGGACTTATTCCAATTTACATACAAGTTATTTTTAAAATGTTGTGTTGAAATTGTATTTTTCTTAAAGTTTCAGGTTGTTCATAATATTATAATATTTTGTAAAAGAAAGAGTTCATCAATTAAAAAAGATTTCTGTAATAGATTTGTGTTTCTCTGCACAAATATTTGAACTTATTGTTATTTTTGGGGTTTATATGACATGAGTTTTCTGATTCGGCCCCTTTGAGATCAAAGTAAGTTGGATACGGCCCCCGGACCAAAATGAGTTTGACACCCCTGCAATAAACCTTTAAATTTAAGTCTTTATTCATTGACTTATTTAGTTTGGGATTTTCAGATTCTAGAACATGATGTCTTGTTCTCAGGTGGGTAAAAAAGATGCACTTTTCCCTACAGGTGCTTTTCGGATTGGAGAATGTTGCGACGTCGTGTTCTCGGGTGGGTGGGTGTTTTTCAGATTCAAGAACGTAACGTTATGTTCTCAGGCCCCGTCCACACTAGTACGTATTCGAGTCGTTTTCGTTGTGGATGTAGGTGGAACGATTTGGTGCACAGATCTGATCCGGCACCGTGTGGACGCCTGAAAACGCTACTAACGATACTCTGACGTAGGAGCTCTATTTGTGACTTGCTCCTTCCTGATTCTCTGGGTTCGTGACATCGCTCATGTGACGCTATTGCAGAAAACACTTTGAACAAACCAGAGACAAAAGGGAAATAGAGCAGCTAGAAATACCTGCACAGAACAGGCTCACCATCAGCAGAACATCCCTCTATTAAGCCAATGATGTTCATTTTGTCTTCTTATATACTTTAACTTCTTAGGTTCACGTCTACAGGAAGTAACAACAGCTGATATACGACACGTCACCACCAACACCGGTGACAGTTCTGAAGATGGCTTGCAGCTAGCAGCCGAAACATGTCAACAAGGTAAACACACTTTACTGCATTGTCTTTAAAAAGAACCGTAAGAAGTTAAAGAACATCCCTCAGTCACAGAAAGAACACTCATATTCTACTGAGTCGTGTCCTTTTTAAGTCTGACAGAAGCTGAACCGTGTCATTGAACAAGGAGTGAGCTGTTTTTTTTTAGCGCTTAGTTTATGCAAATTAGCCTTGTGGTTTAAAGTTTTGTGTCTGTAAACAAATAGGCTCAAAGCTGTGTGGACAGAGAAGGCTTGTGGACACAGAAACCACGTGTCTGGATGCAAATTGTTTCCAATACAGTGATACGGTGATTCATTTCAGTGTAAACGTAACCTCAGGGAGGTGCTTTTCAGATTCTAGAATGTCGCAATGTCATGTTCTCAGGTGGGTGAGGTGATACTTTTTTCCCCATGGGTGCTTTTCAGATTGTATTGTCAGTTTTTCTTATTCATTACATCGTTCTTTGCCATGAAATATCGGAAAGGTAAACTCCCATCTGTACCAAATATTATTGGCCTATTGAAAATCCTCATAATATAATTTTACTTAGTAAACGTACATTTTTCCTGGTGATTTCGCGGACATCGTGGACGTACTGGATCTTTCCTTCATGTCGGACCACTCCCACTGAGATGGAGTCTTCACAAACCTCTGAGGCGATGTACTGGTCCACTTTGAACCCCAGGTCTCGAAGAACCAGATACCCTGAAAATACACACAGAAAATACAGGCAGACTTTTTATCCAAGTGACGTTTAGATTTTTTTTTTTTTCCTTTGACGTTTCTTTTCTTATTATCATGACTATTTACTCTGGGTGTAATGATACATGTATTTGTGTCAAACAGTTTCGGTACGGGACGTTCGGTCTGGTGCAGAGTGAGTTCTCTAAATTTGTGTGTTTACACATTCCACCACTACATGTGCAGCTACACAGGAGGCTCGGCTCTAATATTCACGAGGGAACTTATCCATGATCGGGGTAGTGTTTCTTGCAGCGCTTTATAGTTAGGGTGGCCGCCTTGGCAACAATTGCCCCCCGCTTTGACTACGTCCTCCTGACCCATGTGAGTCCTCGCAAAACTATGGTCGTTGCGCCCCAGTCCTCACTTTCACCTTTCACCAGCACAGAATTATTATTATATTATTATTTTCTGACAATATTTTCAGACAATGGGTTATCTACGAGTTATAATGTGTTATAATGAACTAGCAAATTCATCCACGACACGGTGACGTTACTTACTGGTACTTACCGGTAAATACTGTATACATACCAAGGTGTTGCCTGCAAACACGAACATTAATCGATGCTGGAAGCTGTAAACTGTAATGTTGGCTGTGATGTCTAACCAGGACAGTTTGGTCGTGTTTGGTGTAAACTGGGGCATTTCAGCGTCCCGAGGAACTTTTGGTCGCATTTCATGCAGCTGAGATGAAGGTTAAGACTGACTAACTGCTCCCTGTGGCTGTAGCCGTGAATGTTTTAATCTAAACATGCTAATCAGCCCTGGGATAACATTACGTCTGATGTTCGCCAACTGGCTAAACTATGTTATCTACTAAGATCTAGGTGCAGTTTCCCGTTCAGAGGAGGTATTTCTACACAATATTACACAGCAGCATTCGGTTCCTGAATTCAATGTGGCAAGACAAGACATTTTTACAATAAATTTGAATGAACCCATTTGTTGGTCTTCTGTTGCAGCTCCTTGTTGTGCCATTACTCTGATTTTACCCTCTGCTACAAAAGTTAAACATGTACAGTCTTGATCTTGATCGATGTTCCTACTGCTCGATAAATAATGTCTGATGTATTTTTGACAGTAAAGTAATGGATAAAATACACACAATATATTTTATGTACGACTGGACTCATTGGAGAGTTTACAAATATTTATTTTATGCGCAACTACAGCCAAATATGCACAGATTTCTATTCTATGCGCATGAATATTTGTGAAAGCTTTCTTACGCCATAGTTTTAGATTACACCCTTGATCACTACTGCACAAAGCAAAGGGTGGATACTTTGAGGTATTTAATATAAAAAAATATATATTTAGTTGAGTTTTTAAATGATTTGTTTCTTTACTATATAATCACATATATCTTGATTCATATATTCGATGTCTTCCATATGCGTCTAAAATGCAGAAAGTAGTATAAACAAAAATGACTGAATGAAAAGGCGTGTCCAAACATTTGACAGTGGTGGTGTTTGCCCACAGTAGGAGCTGTGAATAAGTCTGTCTTAGTGAGTTGTCACTTTGGGGCTCATGACTCACTCACTGTTGACAGAAGATTGGAAACTAATCCGTGAGCTTTGACTGAATCCAAAATGAATTAGCCACTGAGCCCTGAGGTTTGAACCAGGATTAAACCACAGTAAATCAAGGTTTAATCCAACAATAAGAAACTGTATACGTTACTATATCAATAAACACCGGATTACGATGGGCAAAGATGATTTAAAGCTCCTGTATTACACCATTTTCTGATTTATGTTTTAATGTTTCCTCATGTGTTTTGTTTCATTCATCTGCAAATTTCAACAGATCATTGCTAGAATCATTTGGATCATTTCAGCCCTCGTAAAAAGGAGCTGTTAACGTGAAAACTACCACACATCATGACATCACAAGGTGGAACAGAGCATTTTGAGCTTTGGCGATGCAGACAGCCTAATAATGTAAGGTTATTTTAACATGTCTGGAGTTGTGTTTTGTTTCATTCACATGTGTTTTTGATGAGGTAACAACATTATAACATGACTTAAATATCACGAGCGCTTATGGGTGTAATGGTACAAAAATCATGGTTCGGTACGTACCTCGGTTTTGAGGTCATTCGGTTCATTTTCGGTACAGTACGGGAACAAAATGCAAAACCGTTTGTGTTTTTATTAAACCAACAATTTGTTCTAACATTATACAAATGGGAAAATAAAATAAATGCAAAGAGCTGTGTGGTAATACTTAAGGGTCATTCCACGCCATTTCACCAAATGGCCCACGCACTTTGATCTCAAAAAATGTTGAAAAAAATACCAAATAGTCCCTTACGATCATGTACCAACCCTGTGAAGTTTTAGTGATTTTCGATGTGTGAAAATCGGACCATGTTGCGTTTTCTTGTTTTTAACAGGACCCTCAAACATAAACTATTTCGAATTTTCAACATTTGGTGATTTTTTTTAACAGTCCTACTACAAATCTTTATTCTCAAAAAAAAATTAAGGGTCTCCTACACCTACAAGTAGGTTTAAAAAGGGGCTAAAAATGGTACGCCGCGGAAATGAACGAGTTTTTTTTTTTTCATTTTAAGTTCATATAAAATGACAATGAGTTGAGATACCAAACTTTCGATTGATGTTATTTGAACAAAGAGGAGCACAAGCCTACAAAACGTCAGCCCTGGAGATATCGACCTGTGAAAACGGCCGAGAAAAAATTATGCAATTTTGGGCCCGTAAATTGACACATGCTCCCCTCACTAAATGAGCTGTAACCTGAAAAGTAATGATTGAAAATGACTAAAATTTCACGGGGTTGGTACATGATAGTCAGGGACCAGCTGGTAATTTTTTCAAAATTAAAAAAAAAAAAAAAACATGATGTGTGAGATTTTCTGCAAATTTGATGAAATGGCGTGGAATGACCCTTAAATAAAATAATCTCAAATAAGCAACAAATCTCTGAAATATTATCAAAAATTAATTAATTCCTTGTAAAAAAGTAATCAAAACTTTTCAAAAAGTAAAGTGCAGCACTAACATTTCCAGCTAAAAGTTTTACTAAGGGCCTGTTTACACGAGAACGCTTCCCGGTAAAAACGACAAAATATTTTATCTTAAGTGTCTTTCGTTTAGACGGTGACGGCGTTTTGGGGGATTAAAAACACAAAAGCCACCTTCCAGAGTGGAAAAGTTGAATACACTCGGTCGTAACGTTTCCATCTACACTGCCCAAGAAGCAAAACTCTGGTCAGATCTGCTCAGGTCACGTATACGTTTCCATCACATACTGTACATCAGGCCAGAAAAAACAACTTGTCCACATTGGGGCTGGAGATTCTGTGCCGGTTGAAAGGCAAAGTGAAGAAACGCTGCATGACGATCGTAGTTTTGCGAGGATTCACGTGGTTCGGAGAGACGCAGTCAAGGCGGGGGGCAGTTGTCAAGGCGGCCGCTCTAACTATAAAGCGCTGCGGGAAACACCTCCAGCCCAATCGCAGACGAGTTCCCTCATGAATATTAAAGAGCTGAGCCTCCGTGTAGCTGCACATGTAGTGGTGGAATGAAAACGCACACAATTTGCGCTAATTCACTCGTGTACGGCCCTGGTTTGGCACGAATACATGTCCCGTTACACATCTACGAGCGCTACCAAGTCCCGCCGTGATAGTACGAGGAGCGTCTTCTTTACAAACCTGTTGCAATTCCATCGAACAGGGACAGGACTCGGATGGGCCTCCTCTGCTCCGCTGGAACGGCAGGGTAGATCTTTGGCTTCTCCTGCAACAAATGTGGGTCATTTTAGATCCGAGTAACGTAACCCCTATTGCAAACAAAACCCACACATGAGCGGCTGCTTCACCTCACTAAAACATCCACCGAAAAGCAAATACAACCTCACTGTATTGTATTTCACTTTCACTGGGATTTTGTTTTCCAGCCATATTAGTTTTGATACACAGATTTTTGATCGTGAACGGAGCCCAAAGGAAGTCGTCATCCGTACGTTTCCAAATGTTTTCCGGTTTTGTGACGCAAGTGTAAAAAAAGCCCATTCTGGATCTCAGTCAAAAAACTAACATTAAAACAAGTACGTCTATTATATACACAAAATAATGGCATAAACTAAGGGTGTGCAAAAATGGCGAGGAGAAAATTCTGTATGTCGACGGTTTGGTTGAAGACGTTTCGCAGCTCATCCAAGCTGCTTCTTCAGTCCTGGTGTGCAAAAATATCAAAATATCGATATATCGTATAGTTTACTGTAATGATACAGTATCAGTATCGGGGACTGCTGTATCAATATAAGAGTAAGAATATTTTTTTGTATATTTTACTTAATTATTCCTTACCCCTCTACAGTTTTGTTGCTTGTTTAGAGGAAAGAAAATCGTTTATGCGACACATTTGACAGTTTTACTGTTTTGATGATTAAAGTGTTTGTGTTTCATATGAACTTTGCACAAGAAGTGGTTTAACAAAGATGTTCAGTATCACAGACATGATTTAGCCTTTATTTTTTATTGAACCGTATTGAATCGATTTGAAATATATCGTATCGTATCGAAAGTGTGCCGTCTTGAGATATGTATCGTATCGTGGCCTGTGTATCGAGGTATGTATTGTATCGGCAACTTCTTAATGATACCCAACCCTGGCATAAACTGTCAAAATATTCTTGAATAGTTTAGATAGAAACAACTACTATTATATGTCGAAAACAGTTCATTTAAATTTTTGTTGTTTATTATTATGGACAAGAAGTCTTTCAGTTTTGTATTATATCTATGTATTTTCATATTCTAGTAGGGGTGTAACGATATCCAAGTCTCACGATACGATATCGTCACGGTATGAACCTCACGGTACGATATTTACTGCGATATCTTGGGCAAGTTCACGATCTGATGTGGAGGCTCACGATTAGGAATGTAACAATATCCAAATCTCTCTGTTCGATATTTTCACGATATACATCTCACGGCACGATATTTATTGTGATATTTTGTGGAGTTAATATGCAACTTTTTCCTCTTAAAATGCCTCGACAAGACTTAATCCAAAGAACTAAGACTTAAAAGTGTTAGAACTGTTATTTCTTCTTGTCGTCTGCACTGAAATGGAGCAAAGGATCATGGTCTATGTAGTTCCCTCTGTATTTTGACACTATTGATGCACTATAACTCTTATTTAAGCAAAGACTTCTAATTCAATATATTGTGATGGTCCACGATATTACTGTAAAAACTTTGACGATACAATATTGCAATATTTCAGTTATTGTTACATCCCTATTTTCTAGGCTTGTTTTATGCATTGCTGTCTGAATAAATGTTCATTCATTCATTAGTTCAAAATAGATTTTAAACAATCTGAATCAGACTGTCATTTCAATATAAAAAATACACAAAAAAACGAAACTCTGTACTTAGGTCCAGGTTATCAGCAGCATAAAAAAAACAGTACAATACATAGTTTAAAATATTGTATGCCAAGTGCAGTCTTCAGAAAACGAAGATGAGTGTGGGTTGTTTTAAAATGCTTCTATGTTGGTGCTATTTTGTAAGGTGCATCAAATATAGTGATGTCAAAATTGGTATCAGATCGCGCGGGTAAACATTCCAACTCACAAATTCCTGCCCGTTGTCGTTGGCGAAGAACTCCTGCAGCTTGAGGCTCCAGTCGTGGCGGCGCTTGAGCACGCCGTAGGGCAGGGGCGGCTGGCACATGTAGCACATCCAGGGGTCCAGGTGCCGAGCGGCGTTAGAGGCGCCGGGGTCCACCAGGATGTCCAGGCAGTCCACACAGAAACACCTGCGAGACAAGGAGACGAGTTTGATTAAAGGTTGTATGGAGGATTTTTTTTTGTTTCAAATTGTCAAGTGATAGCATTATAGAGATGCAATAGCCTTATAATTATGATGACCAAAAAAAAGAGAATAAAAATTCATCAACTCTGGACGTGGTGGGGCTAAACATTTGCCAATAGATAACGACACTGCCTCGTTATCTGTGAGCTGACAGGCTGTCAATCAAACTCCCTACGTTTCTAGTGTAACTGACTTGTCTGCGCCGCCGGTACGTGGTTTACGTACGACTGTCACGCAGTCCACAGACGCAAGACGCACAGACGCTGTTTACTCGACCAACGCAACGGTTCTTAGTGGCTTTTTTGACCTATATCTTCCTCGCAGTTCGCACAAAGTTTGTTGCAATGGCGACAAGAATCCAGGAGCAGTTCGCCGCAAAAGAAAGTCTGTTTTTGAGGTCGCTGAAAGAAGAAGACAAGGGGAAAAGCAGCGAAGCCAAACTAAGGTGATTCTTGAAGATTCATTCCAGCGATGGCGCGACTGAAGCAGACGCAGGGTCTAAAGACTGACGCACTGGTCCACAAATTACTCCTGGACAGGAAACTTCTGCTTATTATGAAAACGTACTTTATTTCCAAGAGCGAGACAAACGTTTTTCAGGACACGAATGCGATATCCTATGTCTGAAAACGTAATTTTCAATGCAAAGAAAGAATCCGCTTGCTGCTGCGTGTTGTAGCTAGTTCATTCACACGGAATCTCCGCGCAACCTTCTCTGCACCCTTTCCTGCTCCTCTCCCTGCTGCCCGTTCCGCTCTTCTCCCCGCTCCTCACTTCTCCGTCTTGCCTAACCAACACTGTAGTTAGTTGTTTACAAGTCATGTGCAGCGGCTGTAAACAAACCTGTTTCTGGCGTAAAGAGGAGGAGGAGGGAGGAGGTGTTTCTACGTAGGAGCTGTAGGGAGGGGAGGTGGTTTCACGCATGCGCAACATTTGAAAAAGGACAAACAGTCGCTGGATTTCTCGTTCCTTGGAAAATCCTCTATACAACCTTTAATAGAAAAGTCAATAGGACATTAAGGTTTTGCATCTGCGTCACAAAACCACGTGATCTGGGGTTTATGCCTCTATATTGGAGGTCAAACTATCCATCTGGACCAGCGATAAAATTTGAATTGAATAACACTGGTTTTGACCTGTGTTGCTGTTGGATGTTCTGTCATCCAATGAATCTGCAAAAGAAGGAGGCCAAAGTATCTTTTTATCGGATAAAGACTGCAGACAGACGTGGAGAGCGACATAAAGACAGAGGGATGGAGCCCACTGAGTACGATCGTCTGTGCAGTCAACATTTCATTTCTGGTGAGGGAACATCTCCACACAAACGAAGAAGGGATTTACAGTAAATGAAATGATAGATACCAAAAGTATTTTTTTCTGGTAGGTATGAAGAATGATAACCCGCTTTCACCAGATTATGTCCCATCATTATTCACGTACACCCCATCGCCAGTCGCCAAAGCAAAACGTTCACTTATTTCCCATTAAAGAAGATCTAACATGAAAAAAAACAAACAGATACTTTAGTTCGTGCACAGAGCGAGCGTTGATTCAACTATCAAAGCGTCTGTCGGAATTAGATCAGGATCTATTCCACAACCCAGGAGGACGACTTTAGCTTTATACCTTTCTAATGTCGGCTAATCTAAAAAGCTGGCGATTTCGGACAGTTTTACGTCATTTGCGCCGTTTAAAGTCGCCATGATTATATTGTAAACTGAATAACACCATCCGGATCAACCCCAACCCTGACCTCCAGTATGGCTGCCAAAACATTAAATCACATGACTGCCACGTCACACGCAAATCCTCAATAGAAATTAACTTTTAATAAGTGTACATGTAGGTCAGATTTAAACGTTACAAGAAAGGTACTGTATTTTTTGGACTATTGGGTGCACCGGATTACAATCGTCTGTCGCTATAACGCAGTTCACATTTCATGTCTCGCTGTTTCGCAGATTTTTTAGTGTGCAATTTCACATCTTTTTTTTTTTTTAAACAGCGTATGAAGGCGCATTGTGTTCCTTCCCTGTGTCCTGATTGGCTAAGGGATTGTAGACCATTATCAGTCTCCTCTGTGCCGTGTCTCCTGTACAGTACAGAATGCGTTCAGTTTGACAAATTTGACATAAATGTTGGATCTGTATGTGATTCTGAAGTGTTGTATGTTTGCAAGTTTTATCCCCAACAAAACCCACAATTTCGACGAAACTTTCTGCACCGACAAAGGCTCCTGCGGTCGCACCCAAAAGACAGAGGAAGAATCAAATCATCGCACAAAAAGTTGGACTTCTGGACATGCTGAAGGAAGGTACAAGAAACGCAGTTGTAGGGCTCCGTTACGGAATAAATGAATCTTTGGCTCATTACATGAAGGAGGAAAATAACAAAAAAGGGTGTAAAAAGGGTTGTAACTGTCCTGTGTGAGAAAAGTGTATAAAGTTTGTGCTGAGGGGTTTTACAGACTTAAAACAGATAATAATTGTAAAAAATAAAGCTGACTACTTCGCGGATTTCACCCCTTGCGGGTTATTTTAAGAACGTAACCCCCCCGATAAATGAGGGAACACTGTATAAGGCGCAATATCGTTGTTGAATTCTCTCATCTATTTTCATACAGAAGTTTCACCGGATTATATGGCGCATTAAACAAAACAAACGGACGACACTTGAGACTGATCCTTAGCCCAGGAGTCCACGATCCATTTACAGATCGTGGAGTAACTCACGCGGTGTTGCCTCTCTGTCTTAGTGACTGTGGATTATAAGGGGATTATTTAAAGTTTGCTTTATTTTCTACAAGGACGACTCAAACATACATTGAGTAATAATGTGTTTAATGCAGCTTTGACACATTGGTTTATGTTTTACAGAAACAAAACTTAAAACCTCATGGCTCATTTATATAAACTATAAGAGCTGAAAAAACAGCTCGCTCCTTGTGCACTGACGCAGAGCTTCTCTCAAACTAAAGGACACGACTCCTGACTCTGGTCGCCATAACGCTCCAACAATCCATCAAGCGGTGCGGCTTCGCAGTTTACCAAAGTTGTACTAAAACAATGACGTATTTTTGAGTGTTGTATACCACATAAAATTGGTCTGAGTTCAGTAACCCAACCACAACCACACAACCAGAATTAACCCTCTCCAGGCAGGCGTTGCAGATTTGCAACAGCTAAATGCCAATTACCTACTTACTCCAAATCCATATTTTATGAGCCTTTTTTACTCAGGAGCCTTTTTTCACATCCATGCTGATAAACATGGATGATGCAGACTGTGCAAGAACGGCTCCACACAAACGACCTGCCAGAAGTGCAAAGTACTTTTGTTGTTTACAAAGGATAAAAATTGTTTCTTGGAGAACCACACGAAAAAGTGATGTTGTTCTGCCACTGTAAAGCTGTTACACTGTGCTTTATGTTTTCATTGTTATGAAAAGTGGTAAACACATAAAGTTGGTGTTCATATCATTTTCAGTCTTCAATGTTAATTTATCACACCAGACCAATGCTGCAAATCTGCAACATCCCAAAACGCACTGGATGCGAAGGTCTCTCTCAAAAAAAAAAAGTCAGGTATATGTATACAGTCCCTGACAAAAGTCTTGTTGCTTATCCATTTTGTAGAAACAAAAGCTTATAACTTGACTTTAAATTAATCGATTGGTTTTAGAAATGTCTCATATGAAAGCTAAAACCCTCCCAAATTATGCTCAATATACTAAAATAAATTTGCTTCACTGAAGAAAGATTGATCATTTAATGAACACAGAAAGGTCAGATTTTGGCAAGACAAAAGTTTTGTCTCCTACAAATTGAACAAATAATTTACTTCAAATACAAAAATATGTTGCATAACGTCAGTGAATGAAGTAGTGGTGCTGTGAGATCCATATTTAACATCTTGTATGACTCCATGAGCTTGAAGGACACATCCATGCGGTTTCACAATGAGTCATACAATTTGTTGATGAAGTCATCAGGAATAGCAAAGAAAGCGTCTTACATGCCTCCCAGAGTTCATCAAGAGTCTTTGGGGTAGAATGAAAGAGGAAGCATTGAAGGCAAAACCAGACCTGCTCAATGATGTTCATGTCTGGTGACTGGGCTGGTCAGTCCTGGAGCACCTTGATCTTCTTCACCTTGAGAAACTTTGATGTAGAGATAGAAGTATGTGATGGAGCACCATCCTGCTGCAAAATTTGACCCCTTTTATGGTTGGGAATGTAAGAGGAGCTAATACTTCTTGATATTTTAGGCTATTGATATTTGCCTTCCACCCTGCAAATGTCTCGCACACACCCAGACCATGATTTTTCCGCCACCAAACTTAACTGTTTTCTGGGTGAATCTTGGATCCATGTGGCTCCAGTAGGTCTCCTGCAATATTTTAGTATGTTGAGCATAATTTGGGAGGGTTTTAGCTTCATATGAGACATTTCTAAAACCAATCGATTAATTTAAAGTCAAGTTATAAGCTTTTGTTTCTACAAAATGGATAAGCAACAAGACTTTTGTCAGGGACTGTATGTTGTATATTACTAAACCGTATGATCATTTTCCCCAAATATCAGATTGTTTCTGGTTACTAAAATTTAATTTGAGCCTGAGAGGGTTAATACATGAAGTGCACCAGATTATAAGGCGCACTGTCGATTTTTTGAGAAAATTAAAGGTTTTTAAGTGTGCCTTATAGTCCGAAAAACACGGTAAGTGTTTTAGCCAGAGTGCCTCACACAAGGACTTGCTCAGGTACGTTTGCCTTGGGTTCTAGGGCCCACATTCACACCTGCACAACCAGAGCCACGGCCCAGTGACATCATCACACGGTGCTGCTCAGAGTGGCTAAAATATAAAATAAGTCCAGTGGCATGAAATATCTCGTAAATAGTGAGGCAGATATGAGTCCCGCTGTGATGATATGGATATAATAGCAGCTCAGAGGAGTGAGGTCAGCCTGAGGAGAGACGCTGTAAAACATTTGTCATCATCCACAGTCTACAGTTATTGAAGGTAAACATGGATTCACTGTGTGTTTTTAGTGGAGTTTACTCACAGTCTTCCTTGTTTGAGTAACATCAGCGCGCACACACAGGCTTTGGCCCCTCCTCTAACCATCACAAAGTCCCAACCGGACCCAGACCCTCACACTGCACAAATGTACCAAAGCTTTAGGGGCTCTCCATGCTTGGGTACAGTTCGATTAGGATTGTGTGGATCCAAGGTAAGCCAATCTGAGCATTTTATATTTATTTGAATAATATTTAATAATATTCTTTTTTTGCCAATTTATTATTACCATTTATATTTTTTTACTTTTTGTTATTATATTGCTGTATTTTTCGGATTATAAGGCGCACTTAAAATCCTTAAATTTCCTCAAAAATTGACAGTGTGCCTTATAATCTGGTGCACCTCATGTATTAAATCTGGTTGTGTTTACTGACCTCGAACTGATTTTATGTGGTGCACGGTGCTCAAAAATCTGAAAATGTTTTAGTACAACTTTGTTAAACTACAAAGTTGCACTGCTTGATGGATTGTTGGAGCATTACGTCTACCGGAGTCAGGAGCAGGAGGTTTCGTGCGCAATGCTGCATTAAACACATTATAACTCAATGTATATTTGAGTTCTCCTCATAGGAGAACTTAAGTTATCCACCCACATTCACATTCATAAAATACATTCACCAAGACTGGAGCAACGCCGGGCGAATTACACCACGATCTGTCAATAGATCGTGGACGCCTGGGCTAAGGATCAGTCTCAAGTGTCATTTATTTTCATACATAAGTTTCAAACAAACGGACGAGAGAATTCAACATTATTGATACTGTGTCTTATAATCCAGTGCACTTTATAGGCGAGTTTCTTTGTTGACAAAAATTGCATTTTGGTTGGCGGCACTAAACACTAATTCAACATGACGGACGGAGCGAGAAAGCACGTAAAGGGTATTGATCCTGGTTATTTATCCACTCTAACGGCAGAGGACCCAAGACCATTTGACCAGAAACTGGTCATAAGCATCGACGGACGACAAATCACCCTTTTCAACCCCGACAAAAGGTGGATCAAACCAAGTTACTGGTCGGAATCGCCAACTACCTGGACAAACATTCACTTTGGTGATATCCACAATGACTTGGTGGAAACTCCTGGGCCATTCACAGCAGAAAAGATGAAAACCTCCAAGAGTCTCGATGTGTTGTTGAACTTGTTGGAGTCCACGGTTTGTTAGGATCTTCTACGTTTGCTCTGCGGATGTTTGAAAGCCGTTTAATTCACCGTCAGCGGTTCTTTTCACTCAGAATACGAAAAAGACATTTTCCTTCTTCCGTGCTTCTATTTGTGCATCCGATAATGCAGCAGGAATTTACCATTATCGGGGATAAACACGCGAGGTTACGCACTGTGTTTGACCGCTACCGTGTTTCTTGCCTCCGACCAAAATATTTCCCAGCATGCAACGCAATGACGTCAGATGAAACTCGCCTATAGTCTGAAAAATACGATATATTGTGATGTGTGAGCTACTGTGTCCAAATCGTTTCCCTTGTGGATCAATACATTTACTAAGTCTAATAACACTGTCAAACATGCTTACAAAATACATACTATATACTTTACTATACAATACATAGACTGTTTAAAGAAGTGGAATAAGTGAGTGCGACGTCACCCACAGCGTTCGTCTCCTCAAATGAAGTTCACGATGTTAACGATTACAGGAGCAAATTTGGATCCAGGCTCTGTATCATTAATAAGATTTTTTTTAACAGGCAAGATAGTGGAAGAAACTCAGGACCATGTAGAGCGGGTTAATGTGAACATTTTCAGATCAAAATGATGAGGCTCACAGCAGCAGTTACGGCAAGAGGGGCCACAAATTCCAATGGAAGTCAATGGAAGTAGGAGCTGGAAGGAGCTCCCATGCGAACTTCCAATTTGGAACGTGACAGCAGGAGTTACGTCCATTTATATAAACAGTCTATAGTACAGTACTTTAAGGTGATAAGAATACTCTAGTTGAACCCAGTCAGTAACAGGAGAGTTAAAAGTGAGATAAGGAAACGTAAAGTAAATAAAATCCTTGTGACCTGCAGCAGTTGGCGTTCCCACACAGGAGCACCTCTCGGCCCCCACAGCACACCGTACAGTACGACTGGTACCCGTCATCATCATACATGTACGACATCTCCAGGTAGTTATCCTAAAACACACACAGACCAAAACACATGTTTATTATTGGGGAAAGAACAAAAATGTGGCTGTTTGCTGCAGGTGTTCCAATGAGTAGGAGGAAAATAGAGGACGCTCTTGGAAAAAAGGATCAAAACTCAAGACACAACAGATTCCAGGCACAAAACAGTAGAAAAAGTTAAACACATCGCACGAGGAAAAATATAATTAAAAGGCCTTTATTTGAATGACCAAAGCCAACATGTTTCGACCTTAACTGGTGTTCATCAGGGCTTGATCATGTTTATTATTGTTCAAGACATTGTTTACTCCTGGTATTTAGGATTACATAGATGAAGATTTAAAATTTTGTTCATCGTTCATCACTGCTGGCCCTGTTCACATGTAGTAATCATGCTCCATACTGTAACAGAATGTGAATAACCTTCTGTAAAATGCACAGTGAGGATTTAGACCAGAGAGAGTCCGTTTAGGTTTAAACCGACTGGATTTCAGCATTGAAACATGCAACACACCTCAAACCTTTTTACAGCAAACTATCTGGAATCTGTAAACTTATACTGTTTAGAATCTACTAATTCAAAGTACCGTTTTTTTCAGACTATAAGTCACACTTTTTTCATGGTTTGGGTGTTTCCTGCGACTTCTATATTAAAATATTCACACTGAAGCCACAAGAGGCTCTAGTCTTGTGTGTGAGTATCTGCTGCTCCTGTTCCTCCTGTACCACTGTCACTTGGCTCTACTGCGCATGTCTCCTGCAGAAAGAGCCTCTGTCCTGCTGCAAGTCGTGAAATCTGCGTCCAAAAACTGTTATCAAGCAGAAGAAAGAAAGTTTGGAATGAGCAAGAAACTTGTGAGGGACTGGCGGAAAGCGGGGATGGAGAAAACGGCTTCACGGTAACCGGGCGAGTCCGCAGTGCAACTTTCCTGGAGTCACTGGTTGGACTGACCAAGCGTGAACTCCAGTGACACCGAAACCGTCCTGTCGGGATTCAGAAAGGCCCGAATAATTCTAACTGGAACTGATGCTGAGTCTGACGACAGCGACACAGAAGAGGAAGCGACGCTCTGTTTACCTCCGGAGGTCGAGGCCGAGTTGTTCTGAAGTGACACCGAGGATGAAGAACTGAATGGATTTAGTGATTTGGAGTGAGATGGAGAGTTTGGTAAACTTCTGTTCTGTTGTTTATGTTATAGTTTATCTGAAGAACTGTTCATATGTGACGTTAACAGTCTGTTGTTCTCTCTTCTATTGTTTTTACTACAACTTGACTTTCAACAGGAAATGTCTGTTCCTGGTCTCTGATTTATTTTTTATTTTTTTTAATTTCTTCATTGCACATTTTTTGGCTGGTACGATTTATAGTCCAAAAAATACAGTACATTTGTAATGGTATCTAATTACTCTTTTAAAGTAAAATGCCCAACACTGCAAATCAGAGAGTTTACATGAGGCTCTATTTAGTTTGATTTGGTTCTCAACAAAATTATCCAAACACTGAATTATAACAAACAACTTTTAAGAATAAATAATAAATCAGCATTCTCAGTAAGAACCATATTTGATTTGAACGTCTGGGTACAGAGTTTGGTCAAGGATTTGGATTTAAAATCGATAAAAAACTAAATCTCAGTTCATTTTATTTTTTAATCTTTTATTTCTGTTCTTGAACTATGCATAGTAACACTAGAGTTTCCACACTGTCTATAATGTCGATCTATAATGACTGAACAGAAATAGGTCAACTGACTTCCAGTGCAAAACTTCCAAACTTAAAAAAAAAGGGCCCATCATTTACACATTTTTACTGCTGACAAAAATTCTGGCCTTTTGCACCTTACCATGTACGGCCCCGGGTCTGAATATCTGAATGAACAGTCTCTATTCAGAGCTGTGGGAGGAGATGGGGGGAAGGTGAAAACTAAAATTCTGAGCACTCAAGCCTTGAACAACAATAGAGAATTACTTAAACATGCACGAATCAGAAATTTACCTCTCGATAAGTGTTTATTCACATAATATGACCACATAAAACACTTATTGTGAGTCAGTGCATTTGTCAATTACATTTCTCTATGAGCACTACACACTTGTCACATCACATATTTGTAGCTTAACTGTCACATGACTTTGTGAACTCCCTTCTGTCAAACATGTTTTGATCTGTTTCCAAACCTGATTGTCAGACATAAAGAGGGCCGTACCTACTGTTCTTTGGATCTTGGCAGCAGCTACATTCCTGAAAATTTTGATCTCTATTAAATAACACTGGGCTTGTAACTCATCAACTGTCACTTGGCTAAACAATGTGTGCATTTCACAACAGTTAAAGATCTGTTGAAAGAAGAAAGAGAAACATGTGATGACGCTTGCCTTGATAAATGGTCACAGTTTTATACAAAGCTTTTCCACCTTCAAGGAACTCAACAGCACTTTACAACAAGGAACCGCTCACTCAGGGTCTGTCCACACGACAACGATTTTTGGTTGAAACCGTGAAGTTTTGATTCGTTTTGTCCTTTCGTCCACATGGAGTCGGTGTTTTGGGTGGGTGAAAATGGTGTTTTTTAAGAACAGGTTCAAACAAACCGACTTTTGGAAAACAGAAACCCCGTCATCGCCAAGGCGACAAGGTGTGTGATCATTTACGGTTTACAATGTGCAATACGCTATTAATCAAGTACGGGCAAGTATGTAATATACTAAAGTGTGCAATACAAAAACAAAGCAATGGGCTGTGTGCACTGGCTTTTGCAATTTTGAAAACAATGATCTTGTGTATCTGCTGACTGTCCCTTTTGTTTTATGTCATGCCTAATGTGTTTTGCCTTAAATAAAAAAAATAAAAAAAGATCCTTTAATGCAGCGAAGCCTGCAGCCCTCGAACTGGCCTCCACGGACGGCAGGACTGTTGCCGAAATGTGACACGTGTAGCCTACGGAGCCGCTCCCGACGCCCAGCAACTGAGACACGCTGCTAACACGAACGCAAGCAACACACACCACACAGATCACACACACGGATCAATAACAAAGATCACACACGAGTAATCAAACGGTTGGATTTTGAGACCAAGTTATTCTAATAATTCTCATCCAAATCTTATGGTAAACCAAGACTGAACCAGGACTGAACCAGGACTGAACCAGGACTGAACCAGGACTGAACCAGGACTGAACCAGGACTGAACCAGGACTGAACCAGGAGAACCAGGACTGAACCAGGACTGAACCAGGACTGAACCAGGACTGAACCAGGACTGAACCAGGACTGAACCAGGTCCGGAACTGAGACCAGGACTTAGACCAGGAACAGAGACCAGGAACAGAGACCAGGAACAGAGACCAGGAACAGAGACCAGGAACAGAGACCAGGGACAGACCAGGAACAGAGACCAGGGACAGAGACCAGGACAGAGACCAGGGACCGAGACCAGGGCCATCAGGCGACGGTTAGTCCCGCTTAGACCCGTGGGGTGTGGAACTCTGATCCGGTCCTTTCTCCTGTGGTCATCCGACACTCAGTCCTGGTTCAGTCCTGGTTCAGTCCTGGTTCAGTCCTGGTTCAGTCCTGGTTCAGTCCTGGTTCAGTCCTGGTTCAGTCCTGGTTCAGTCCTGCAGATATCATGTGTCTATGCAGGTTGTTTTCACCGTTGCCAGTAGCTCCGGTTTGACATTTAAGTTGTAGCTGTTTTATATTTGTTTTTTTTTTTTAAATAAGAGAAGTGGGTGGACACTGTACCCCCGTGTACCGTGCCCACTACACCCCTCCTTCCATTCACTCCTTTTCAAACATGTATATAAGGATTATGCATCCTCATTGCTGGTGTTTTTTATGCTGTTTGTTTGTATTCGTTATGTTGTTTTTCCTATGCATGGTCGAAATAAACAACAAGAACCATCAAATAACATAAAATAAATAACTGAAAATAACCCCTGTTGTATGACCCATGCTTCACCGTGGTCCCTCACCTTGCATGTTTGGCACAGGCCTCCTTCAAAGAGCGGGTGGAAGGTAGCTGCTCTCATCTTTCCACAGGAGAGACAGAACTCTGCCAACACAAAGACACACACCGACGATCACTCTGCAGCCCAGTGACAGCTGTAGGAGCCGCTGTACTTTCAACATACCTTCAATACTGCGTCTGTTTTTCAGGACTTCATTCACCATTTGTTCTGCAATCAAAACATGGATTTAATAATACAAATAAGATGCCGTAAACTGGCAACATTTTTGGAAAGATGTGCAAAGTGAAACTGAAAATTATCAATTGAATTAGAGCCATTTCTTTACTCTTAATTGCCAAAAAAAAAAAAAAAAAAAAAAAGATAACGGTCTCCTGGTTCAGACCGCTGTCCACCACAATTACGCCCAATTTACAGTTGTACGTGAAATCGTTTGGACGTATAAATGGACACAGCTAACCCACTGTCCACCGTGTTCCAATAGGAAGTGAACATGGGAGAGCATCGACGTCCGGCTCTCCATCCGGCTCGACTTCCGGCTCTCCCTCCATCTACGCCCGGCTCTCCATTCATCGACTTCGGGCCCTCCATCCTCCATCGACTTCGGGCCCTCCATCCTCCATCGACCTTCCGGCTCTCCATCCGCCTTGACTTCCGGCTCTCCCTCCATCCACGCCCGGCTCTCCATCCATCGACTTTCAGCTCTCCATCCATCGACTTCCGGCTCTACTTCCCCCCTCTCCCCCCTCCCTCGACTTCCGGCTCTCCATCCTCCATCGTTCATTGTCTTCCGGCTCTCCATCCACGCCTGGCTCTTCATCCATAGACTTCCGGCTCTCCTCCCTCACTTCCGGCTCTCCTCCCTCCGGCTCTCCATCCCTCGACTTCCGGCTCTCCATCCCCGACTTCCGCTCTCCATCCCTCGACTTCCGGCTCTCCATCCCTCGACTTCGGCTCTCCATCCATCGACTTCCGGCTCTCCATCCGCCATCGACTTCCGGCTCTCCATCCCCTCGACTTCCGGCTCTCCATCCCTCGACTTCCGGCTCTCCATCCCTCGACTTCCGGCTCTCCATCCCTCGACTTCCGGCTCTCCATCCCTCGACTTCCGGCTCTCCATCCCTCGACTTCCGTCCTCCATCCTCCATCGTCCATCGTCTTCCGGCTCTCCATCCACGCCTGGCTCTTCATCCATAGACTTCCGGATCTCCATCCATCCACGTCCGGCTCTCCCTCCCTCGACTTTCAGCTCCAACTGATTTTAAATTGGAATATCGTCGCCCCCCCTTTCTGTACCTGCTGCTGTGAGCCTCGTCATTTTGGTTTTAAAATGTTCGTATTAACCCGCTATACAGGACCCTGATGTTTTTATTTCACTACTTTGTCCATTAATAAATTTGATTCCTAATACGGAACTGGCTCCAGATTCGCTCCTATAACCGCTCGTGCCTCGATGAGCTTCATTTGACTGGAGCTGAAGGCTGCGGGTGACGTCACGCTCCCTCAGTCCACTTTTTTTAAACGGTCTAACACAACCTGTTAAATAAAAGCAGTTCTATAGAGAGTGTGGTGAAGAGTACCTCTGCTGTAGGACTCCTCGGGGGCTGCTTTGGTTTTACAGGAGCTCACTTTGGGGCGTTTGGCGCTGGGGAGGTACTCGGGGAGAGAGACGTCCAGGACATGGTGGTGGAGGGCATTGCTTTCTGTAAATGGGAAAAATATCACTGTTAGAAACATTTGGTTTCGTATGACTTAGTTCTTAGACAAAAAGACTTTACTGATCCACAAGGAAAATTATTTGGACACATCACAATGAGTAAAAAAAAAGTATACGATGATGATAAATTCTAAAGTAGCAAAAAGATAGCAAGAGAGGTGTCAAATAAGGCATAATTATATATAGTCAAATCCGGACTATTGAGCGCACCTGCATATACGCCGCATCAACAGAATTTTAACAAAATTTTATTAAGTTATTAAGTTCAGGCCGTCTGCTTTTATCACCTCTGAAAGATTTTGTCGTCTTTTTGCGTTGAATCGGTTCGTCAAGCTGCCGTGGCCAAAATCTCACCATCGACCAAAATGAAATGAAAAAAAAACAAAAACGGATGATTTGGGTTTTTTTTTCAGTTTGTGATTTTGTGTTTTAATGAATAATGGAAAAAAAAAGGATAACGACCATTTCCCATTTCAGTGACTTAAGCTGCAATGCCAGACCAAACCAGGACTGAATCAAGACTAAAACAGGACTAAACAGTTTTCTGGTCCCGGCCCCAGTCCGGCCCCAGTCCCGGCCCCAGTCCCGGCCCCAGTCCCGGTCCCGGTCAGTCCGGTTTCAGTCCCGGTCCCGGTTTCAGCCCGGTTTCTCCCGGTCAGTCCCGGTCCCAGTCCCGTCCCAGTCCCGGTTTCAGTCCCGGTCTCAGTCCCGGTCCCGGTTTCAGTCCCGTTCAGTCCCGGTCCCGGTTTCAGTCCCGGTCCCGGTTTCAGTCCTGGGTTTTCAGTTCGGTCCTGTTCCGGTCCTGTTTCTGGTCTCGGTCCTGGTCCTGGTCTCTTTCTCGGTCCTGGACCTGGTTCAGACCTGGTTCAGTCCTGGTTCAGTCCTGGTTCAGTCCTGGTTCAGTCCTGGTTCAGTCCAGCATCTCAGTTTAAGTCACATAAACGGGAAATGGTTATCCTTTTTTCCATTATTCGTTTAAACACAAAATCGAAAACTGAAAAAACAAATCGTTATCCGTTTTTTTTTTTTTTCATTTTGGTTTTGGAGACAAATAAAGAAAATTGTTGTTTTTTCGTTTTCTTATTTTTGGTTTTATTTTGAAAAACGAATGAACGAATGACACACAGACTGATCACAACAAGTCACATTTAACTGGAAATATGAACGACCTAGTAACAAAAAATCCAAATTGAGCATTAAGCCCTGCAGTCTGAACGTCCCCCTAGACTCAGATCCAGAGATTTCGAGTTGGGATCATATTTTGTCTTCATATTAAACCCTGTGAGGTGCGTACCTGCGTTGTGTGGGGGTTTGAGTCCCTCCTCTCCTTTGGGCAGGAACCCTCCATTGGCCCAGTCCAGCATGGGTTTGATCTGCTCCTCTGGACTGTCCGACTCGCAGGGAGGGAAACTCTCCTGCGCGCGCACACTGGCCATCTGTCAAAAAACAGTTCAGACACATAAATACAAATCTAAAAATGTCCCGATTTTATATTTTTTGTGTTTCGTGTATTATCATTCACCAACAGATCAGCCCGTCACAATAATACAAGTAAATATAGATGATAAAAATTAAAAGTTACAATATCATCCAGCTGCTCTGTTCCTCGTCACTGTCAACATCCGGCTCTCTCAACATCAACATCCAGATTAAGAGCTTTCGATAGTTAAAGTTTTCGCAAAGAAAAGTTTCATAATAACATCTGTCATTTTCTGGGCTATTGGCGAGTTTCATTGTTGACAAAAGCACGTGTTGCATGCTGGGAATTGTTTTGGTCGGCGGCAATAAACACTAATTCAACACGACGGACGGAGCGAGAAAGCACGTAAAGGGTATTGATCCCGGTTATTTATCCACTCTAACGGCAGAGGACCCAAGACCATTTGACCAGAAATTGGTCATAAGCATCGACGGACGACAAATCACCCTTTTCAACCCCGACAAAAGGTGGACCAAACCAAGTTTCTGGTCGGAATCACCAACTACCTGGACAAATATTCACTTTGGTCGATATCCACAATGACTTGGTGGAAACTCCTGGGCCATTCACAGCAGAAAAGATGAAAACCTCCAAGAGTCTCGATGTGTTGTTGAACTTGTTGGAGTCCACGGTTTGTTAGGATCTTCTACGTTTGCTCTGTGGATGTTTGAAAGCCGTTTAATTCACCGTTAGCGGTTCTTTTCACTCAGAATATGAAAAAGACATTTTCCTTCTTCCGTGCTTCTATTTGTGCATCCGATAATGCAGCAGGAATTTACCATTATCGGGGATAAATACGCGAGGTTACGCACTGTGTTTGACGCTACCGTGTTTCTTGCCTCCGACCAAAATATTTCCCAGCAGCAACGCGGGCTTTTAATAACAATGACGTCAGATGAAACTCGCCTATTAGACGCGCTCTTAAGTCTCTAACCACATCAAAAAGCGACCGCGCCCCACAATCCAGAGCGCCCTATACACGAATCCACTCAGGTGTCCCAGCACGACTTCAGTAAACTACAAAGCCGCACCACCCGCAGAACACACAAACACACACGGTGCAGACGGCGACCGCACAGCGAAAAAACACCCACAGACACACTCATCACTCCACGCCGACGAGGAACGGAACGGAGGAACGAACCGAAAAAGCAAGTGCAACGTGCCGCTTCTAGACACGACTGAACAACTGAGTCACTGCGAACACGCCGACAATCCGTTGGTCCCAGACACACCCTCCCTACACGCCACAACTGAACAAAGCCCAGAGTCACCGTGAACGAACAAACAAACAAAACCACTCACCCATCACACTGTTGTGTTTCCTTTAAAGTCCCACACGGTTTATTTGTGAAAAAAGTTTGAAAATAGACCATTTAATGACAGTGCGTCTTATAATCCAGAGCGACTAACAGTGCGGAAAATACAGTAATAGTTAGCAAACTAAGCCAAATACATAACATACGTCTAATACATGCATCAAGAATTTCCAACTTTCAGTCATTGCACAATTCATACTGGGAAGGATTTTCCGAAAAAGTGAGCATGAAACCGCCATGTTTGTTTTCCCAGTGGGATGTGTCCATTGTCAAAGTCGATCTTTTCTAGTCTTTTGAACCATATCACTTTTGTTTCTGGTTCTGATGATACTTTTGCGGTTGTTGGATCCTAACAGCAGAAAACGGCTCGAGAAATGGGCATAGGAATTTTGCGAACTCCATAACTGCAAAAGTGAATCAGATGTGTGTGAGTGCAAACCTCCGTTCAGACTGTTTTCCTTCCCAACGGAATTGAAAAATAGTGAAAGGTGAAGGTGATGGGCAGGATTGATCCACAGGAAGAACCAAAAAGGAAACATTTAAATCATCCCAAGTTTGCAGAGAACATTTTGTATGTGGATAGGGATCCTGTTCGTTATTGGAGAGGAGCAGAAGACAAACAGACTGAGCTGCACTTTTTTGTTCTTGTGGTTTTACAGCTGTTCACGTCTCACGTCTTGGTCTCTTTGCAGTGGAAGGTGTTTCTTGGTGAACAGCTGGTGCCTTTCACTTTGGCGGTAACTTTTGAAATTTGTAACCATGAAATGAGGGATCAGGATTTTGCTTTGATGACGCTCCACATACAAAATGTTCTCTGCAAACTAGGGATGATTACCAAAGATATAGGGATTTTTATTCTTTATAAAAATAAAAAATTAATAGGATTAATTTGTTGTTGTGTGAAATTGGGACAGAGAGGTTAGAGACAATCAGTAAACCCACAATGCCCATGTGGTAATATTAACAAAGGATTAAACCATTAACCAATAGTGAGCATGTGAATGTTGTTTATGCAAATTTTTATAGTTTTTTATTTGGCAAGTGTGCAACGTTTGTAAAATTGCGAAAATATCTTCAGGTTATTGTTACAGGAAAACTCAACAATATGTAATAAAGATAGTAAACAAATAATCTTCTTGTGCAGCTTCTTTTGTGCATCACTCATGTACAAACAAAGTTTCTTTTCTAACAATTTGAAAACCCCTCATGTGAAATATTTACATACAGGATGGAAATACTACAGCTACGGCAGGATATGGTTAAGGTAAGGTAGATTAAAGATAAAAATGTCAAAGGAAGTCGTTTTTTCCGGTGTCATTTTGGGGAGGTGTAACAACTTGCCGCTCTGTGCTGGGAGTCAAAAGAGCACGGTTCAGGGGGAGTGCACTCGAGCGCGTTTACACAACAATCTCAGTCTGTCCGGATTTGAAACGGTGGATTCCCCTGCCCTGTGAACGCCTCGTGGTGTCAGTGCATCAGATCAAGACAGTCTGGAAACTACAAGCGGACCAGAGACAGAATAGGACAGTGAAGTAAACACAGAGGCGCTTCAGGCTCCAGTTGACTTTTGAAAACCACTGTAATGTAAACAGTGAAAACCAAACTTTAAATTGTCATTTTAGGGAATTAGGGAATTTCTCCCGCGGTGGGGTATAGCCGCTCAACAGAGCAATATGCGACGATATTGTACCCCGTCCCCCATCCCCCGGAGTTACAATATTTCAAGCTGCTCTGAAAACTCTGATGATGCGCTTGTTGCAGATGCACATGTACCTTGGTTGTCGTGTGAATATAGTGTGTGTAGTGTGGGAGAAGTAACATTTGGCTTTGGAACAAGTGCCACTGTATCTCTCCAGCTCTCACTGTGGCAGCTCGGGTCAGAGTCCTGGCGCCAGGTCGGGTCAGAGTCCTGGCACCAGGTCGGGTCAGAGTCCTGGCGCCAGGTCGGGTCAGAGTCCTGGCACCAGGCCGGGTCAGAGTCCTGGCGCGTAGCCGTGGACTCAAGAGAGAGCGAGCCCCTAGCACGAGCAAGCGGAGCAGGTGTCTACAAAGCGCGATCGGGTGACGGCTGCGTTTACCTCCATGCAGCGCAGAGCTCTGACTGTCTTCGCGGGCACAACTTAGTCCTGTGTTAGTCCTGTGTTAGTCCTGTGTTAGTCCTGTGTTAGTCCTGTGTTAGTCCTGTGTTAGTCCTGTGTTAGTCCTGTGTTAGTCCTGTGTTAGTCCTGTGTTAGTCCTGTGTTAGTCCTGCGGCATGAGTGGCTAGCACTCATGCCTCACAGCAAGAAGGTTCCGGGTTCGATCCCCGGGTCGCCCAGGCCTTTCTGTGTGGAGTTTGCATGTTTCTCCTCGTGTCTGGATGGGTTTCCTCCGGGTGCTCCGGTTTCCCCCATCAACACAAAACATGCTACAGGTCTCCATAAACAGTTGATAGTCAAAGTCAATTAAAAAATACAAATCAATCAATGAACCTGTCCAGGGCACTGGTGCAAGTGGCTAGACACTTCACCCACATTGCCTAGTATGAAAGTGGTGTGTGTGTGGGTGATGGTGGTGGTCGGAGGGACCGTTAGCGCCGATTGGCATGGCAGCCGCGCCTCTGTCAGTCTGCCTCAGGGCAGCTGTGGCTACAACAGTAGCTTACATCACCAGGTATAGAGTGAATGAATAACATATGCTGAATGTAATGCTTTGTAAAGCATCAACAAAAAAATGTCTGTGAAAAGCGCTATGTAAATAGGGATGTACTGACTGTGTTAGTCCTGGTTTAGTCCTGGTTTAGTCCTGGTTTAGTCCTGGTTTAGTCCTGGTTTAGTCCTGGTTTAGTCCTGGTTTAGTCCTGGTTTAGTCCTGGTTTATCACGAGCGTAACAGGTGGAATGTTAACGGTTCCGGGCGGGTGCGCGTCTCTTAAAATGGACCCATGCAGGACTGTGGGTCGGGTCACGTTGGTCACGTTGGTCACGTTGGTCACGTTGGTCACGTTGGTCACGTTGGTCACGTTGGTCAGTGATCGCAGTGACCCAACACGTACCACGGTGGGCCTCTTAACGCAGTGATTCATTTTTGAAGTTATTGCGACAGCTCTACCTAAAAGCACAGTGAGGTCGTAGTTATAAGAAAACTATGCCCTTTTACACTAAAAACAGTAACTACATTTTGTTCAATCCTTGAACCTGTAACATGACATTACATGTACTCCCTGCACTGTCATTCAAATCAATCTTTCTTACTGGTTTTGTCTGGGTTTGGTCTTGTTGTTTTTCCCTGATTTGTTGGTTCAGTCTTTGACATTTCAGACCATTAAATATTTGTTCTATGTTCTTGTTGTGAAATTATCCCATCTGCGTCCTGCATTATTTTGTCCCCTGAAGGCAGCACAGATCACACGTGTAAAAACAAGTCCGTCTTCCTCTGACATGGTTTACAATGGACACAGCAACAGGCTTTCTCCACCCTAAAGCAGCTTCAACTTTGGACTGGAGTTCGTAGCAATTATCAGTCCAATTTTCAGACAATTTACGTCATTGTAATACTTTTTTTTTTTTATTGGTAAAACTAATTGCCATAATAAATCGTTGCTAACGTCTCAGTCCCATGAATCTTGTTTGTAGTTTAAAGGTGCTGTATTGCGCAAAATCGACTCTAACCATGTTCTAGTGTCACCTCCTCAAAAACAAACCTGGACTTGTGTTTTGTTTCACTCACACATGTTTGAGTAATCCTTCATCATTAGTCTATCTTAGGGTGACCAAACGTCCGTTTTTTGCATCCTGGGCATCCGGGTTTTTTTTTTACAAAGTGATGCAAATGTCCAGGTTTTCATTACCGTTCATTGGGACATTAAACTGAACGTTTCTTGTAGCGTCTGTGACTCACAAGGAGCGAGACACAAACAGTCAAACAGTCGGTCAGTCTGCAACATACCGAAGCACAAATGCGCATTTAACAATGACTTGTTCAAGAAATTCTCCGTTTTCCATCTCGGTCGGGACAAGTGTGAGTCCATGTGCACAGGTTGCGAGGTGAGAGGACAGTGTCCCTCGTTTATCGCGTGGGTTACGTTCTAAAAATAACCTGTGATAGGTGAAATCCACGAAGTATTCAACTTTATATTTTACAATTATTCTATCTATGTTTTAAGGCTGTAAAACCCCTCAGCACAAACTTTCACACAGGACAAGTGCAACTTTTTACTTCCTTCTTTAAACTTATTGCTGCTGTCGTCACGTTATTTCCCTCCTTCTTTATGTAACGAACTGAAGATTCATTTATTCCGTAATGGAGCCCAACAGCGCAGAGTCCCGCACGGGTCCATTTTTGGAGACCCCCAGTACAGCACTGCACCCGCCAGGACAGGACCGCACCTGCCCGTTAACCCGAGATTATATCAAACTTTTGCGCTGCCTACGCCACGACTGAACCAAGACTAAACCAGGACTAACCCAGGGCTGATTCCAGGACTGAAGAGGAGGACTAATCCAGGACTGAACTAGGACTAAACAGGACTAAACCAGAACTGAAACAGGACTGAAACAGGACTCACCGTCGGGACGGGCTCGGAGGTGACGCAGGAGAAAGGACCGGCTCAGCTCCGCACCTCACGGAGGTAAACGCGGCAAATGCCCGATCGCGCTTTGTGGACAAACTGCTTGGCGTTCTCTCTCTCAAGTCCAAGATTAGTCCTGGTTTAGACCTGGTTTAGTCCTGACTCACCCGTGTGTAATTACTACCCGCCTGTAATACACAATACGCGTTCATACGCTATAAAAAAAAAAAAAAAGCATGCAAAATTGCACTAAAAAAAAAAATCTGAAAAACGGTGACACCGCGAAAGGTGAACCCCCACACCCCCAGGGTGTCCGGGTTTTCACAAAGGGAAATATGGTCACCCTAGTCTATCTACATCTCCAAATCTTAAAATGCTCTGTTCTACCTTATGAAATGATTATAGTGAAGGTGTATGGACTTTAAAAACACAGTGGAGCGCTTCCTGTATTACCGCATGACATCACAAGTGGAACAACGTTTTCAGTTTGAGAGAAAAACTCAGCCTAAATATGCAGGTTTGTGTGTTAAACCTGTGTAAATGAAACAAAACACAACTCCAGGTCTGTTTGCGATGAGGAAAAAACATTAGAACAGATCAGAAAATAGCGTAACATGAGCTCTTGAATGATAAAAACAGATTTTATTCGAGTCTTTCTTACCTCCAGAGCTTGAAAGATGGCCCGGCGGTAGGAGGCCAGCTTTGTGTACGAGGCCTGGTTGAAAAACTTGGGGAAAGCAGTAATGGAGTCCAATTTATCAGCAGAAACCTGAGAGAAAAACAGTTTTAAGAATCCGTGTTTCATTCGTTCATTTGTTTTTCAAAATACAACCAAAAATAAAACGAAAAAACAAAAAATCTTTTCATTATTTGTCTCCAAAACCAAAATGAAAAAACAGATAACGATTTGTTTTTTTTTTAGTTTTTGATTTTATGTTTAAATGAATAATGGAATAAAAACTGATAACTGACTGAAAACTGAACCTCAACTGACCTGGTCCGGTCTCAACTCGACGTCTGACCTCACAGCATTAGGATTCGTTCGCTCGACGGTAGGCGGATACTTTATTTAATCAGTCACTGCTATATGGTTGTGACGTATGTAATGCATCAAGTCCCGTAGGAAGAAGGACAATAACGTCTTTCCCCTTGATAAAATTCACCAAACATCTCTTTGTTTTAAAATCTCGATCTCTGTAATCCTTGCCAACACAAATATATGGCTCTTGACTGATTGTTCTGGTGCTCTGAATTCCTACTTCCGGGGTTCTTACAAACATCTAGTACAGGAGTGTCAAACCCATTTTGGTCCGGGGGCGTATCCAACCTATTTTGATCCCAAAGGGCGAAAAAAAAAAAAAAAAGCATGTAAACCCAAAAATAGCAATAAGTCAAATATTTGCAGAGAAACGCAAATCTATTACAGAAATCTTTTTAAACAATCTTTTACAAATATTATGCAATCTGAAACTTTAAGAAAAATGCAATTTCAACACAATGTTTTAACTTAAATTGTATGTAAATATCCTGCACTCGGCTCCACTTTTCTCATGTTGACATTTTTCTGATGAGGGTGTCACGGTCAACAGTCAAAACTTCCGTTTGGAAAGAGAAATATTGTGCTTCTGGTGGGAGGGGCCACGTACAGAGATCTGCTGTGATAATTACCAATATTTTAAAGTAGGTCTTACTTAATGTTTGACACATCTAGTATATTCTGATTCCTGACCTCGTCACCGAGTCAGGCTCAGGGCTGTGACAGAGGCCCATATGAAGGCACTGGGCTGGTACAGATTGAGGCTCACTGCAGCCTGGAGAAAGCCCTTTACACCCAATAAATTACATGCTCTATGAAACTCCTCATAAATATCATCGGCTCACATGGTCATACGTTTATAGGAAATAAATTTAAGAAAATATGTCATTTACAATCGTAGAGGAATTAGAATTTTTAGTGGCATGATCAGAGTGATAATATTCTAAAACAGTCGAATTTTTGTTCTTACAAGTGCTCCTGACTGTTACCTGTTTGCAGGATTTGTTCTTCCAGAAGAACATTTCCAGTTAATAAAAAGTTTTGTGAATGCCAAATATGTTCATAAGAAGGTCGCAAGTACAAATTTGTAAGAACGTTTCATGAATGACGCCCATTGAACTTGAACAGTAAGTCGATATAAAAATGATGGGGACAGGCCTACAGCTAATGCATTTGTTTATATTAGTATCTAGAACTAATTCATTCAGACGGCCATCTCCTCCTTATACTTCCCGCTTATATCTCCCACCATACCAAAGTTTTCTGTCCTTACCTCAGAAAACTTTCCATCTCCGAACCACTGGAGCCACCTCATGCCGTGGGAGGCGTGGCGTTTCCCGGTGACCCTCCACGTCACCACGATCCCCGGCCACCACGAGAAGCCCTTGATCTTCCCCCAGACCAGCTCCCCGATGCCAAAGCCTTTGTTATCCTGGAAACAGAAGAATCTGAATCATGCCCGCCGATAATAATTCCCATTTCATGTACATATACAAGGACATACATGCATGAACATTTACTTGCACATTGTTTTAAAAAAGGTGCACTACGTAACTTTTCCATATGCTCGACTCTATTTAGATTTAATCTCCCAGGACCCAGGATATCTGATCAAAACTATTTCTGGTAACACTTTATAATAACTACACCTTATTTAGCCTTAATAAAGCATGAACAAAGGCTTAATTAATAATGAACAAAGATTTAATAATGATTCACGCTTAGTAACTACTTAATTACTACTTGCACTTAATTTGCCTGTGCTGTAAACAGTTACTCATAATTATTTCATACTTAATTACTCATGAACTAACCATTTGAGCATTTATTAATCATTAGTAAACTATGAGAGAATGATTTACTAATAATGTAATGCAATGATAATTCAGGCAGCTGTTATTTGTTAGTTAAGTCTTTTTGAGAGATTTTCTAAAGTGAAGACGAATTATGCTTTATTAAGCATTTACTAAGCATGAATCATTATTAATTAAATCTTTGTTATTATTAAGTCTTTGTTCATGCTTTATTAAGGCTAAGTAAGGTGTAGTTATTATAAAGTGTTACCCTATTTCTCAATTCCCAGAAAAGGTTATGACGGGAAACTGGGAAAATAGCCTAATAAAAAAAAAAAATAATAAAAAAAAAAAGCCTCTGTCCTGTCTGCATCATGTCAGTCGATCGCACCGTTACTTCTGCACCACTCAAAATTTTAAATTCGTAATCAAGCAGCAGAAAGAAAGTTTGGAGTGAGAGAGAAATTTGTGACACCAGGAGGATGCACCATGAAACTTTCCTGGAGTCACTGGACGGACGGACAAAGTCTGGACTTCAGTGACACCGAAACCATCCTGTCGGGATTCAGAAAGACCCGAATAATTCTAACTGGAACTGATGCTGAGTCTGACGACAGCGACACAGAAGAGGAAGCGGCGCTCTGTTTACCTCCGGAGGTCGAGGCCGAGTTGCTCAGAAGTGACACACGAGGATGAAGAATTGAATGGATTTAGTGATTTGGAGTGAGATGGAGAGTTTGTTAAACTTGTTCTGTTCTGTTGTTTATGCTATAGTTTATCTGAAGAACTGTTCATATGTGACGTTAACAGTCTGTTGTGTAAATGATCTGTGAAAGGAGCAGGTTTAAAAGATTTATCTTCTTCCTTTTCCTTTTGTTCATGCAGCAAAGACGAGGTTTGTCTGTTTGTTGTTGGTGTCGTCGTTGTCGTCGTTTGTGGTCGTCGGTTGTGTTTCCAGTGTCGTCGTCGGTTGTGTTGCCGGTGTCGTCGTCGTTTGCGGTGTCGCCGTCGTTTGCAGTGCTGCCGTCGTCGTCGTTGTCGTCTGTGCTGCCGGTGTCGCTGTTTGCGCTGCCGGCGTCGTCGCCGTTTGCGCTGCCGGCGCCGTTTGCGCTGCCGGCGTCGTTTGCGCTGCCGGCGTCGTTTGCGCTGCCGTCGTCGTTTGTGTTGTTGTCAGGGAATCTACCCAAAGACAATTCTGTTAAAAAAGAACCACTCAGAACGACAAAGTGTAGATACTTGTGCGAGGCCGTCTGTCCCTTCCTGCTCTGCCTTTCACCCTCCGAGCAGCGCTTTTATTTCAACACATGACACAAACAGATTACATTTCATGACGTCACATTACATATTGTTCACATTATCTCATGACTAACAAGCTTCGACTAAACCGCCCCCCCATTTCACACTTGACGACATGTTCCAGGTGACAGACAATCACTTCGTAGTTCTCCAGGGCCCCGTGTTTAGCGTATGATGGGACAAACCCACTAGTTGTTTTCTCTACAGTAGATTCAGCTGATGTTTTCATGTTACATACATCTCGAATAAAACAAAACGCAAAGCAATGTTGATAATATTATATTACATCATGATTAATCTTTAAATGATTCATCCTTTAAATGAGTAACCCTTTAATGTGAAATACTTATAACATAAAAATTCTCTAACAGTTGTCGCCAATAAAATAATAGCAGGAGCAATAAATACATTTAAATTTAAATGTTGTTCTCTGTTCTATTGCTGTTACTTTAACTTGCCTCTCAAGATGAAATGTTGGTTCTTGGTCTCTGATTTAATCAAATAAATTTCCACCAAAAAGTGTGACTAATGTTTTTTCTTCTTTCTTCTTTCTGTAACGTAAACCCCGGAGCGACTAGTCACAAAAAAAACACAATGGTCCATCAGGCCTAATTGGGCTCCAAAAACGGAACAAAAACAACCAGAGTTATTTCAAGGGATTCCAGAGAAATGAGTCGCCTTGTCCCAGGATATGATTCATTTCATTTTAAGGGAAAACATTCAACACTCGTCTTTATGGAGACATCACACAGAAAGACATGGCATTCTTTCATCCTGTTTTTTTTTTCTTTTTAATTCTCATTTTTACAGGAAGCGTGATCTCTCAACACTTCTAACCTGCATCTTGGCCTGGTGCTGCCTCCTGCTCGTCTCCCTGGTCATGATACGGGTTTATTCAGAGCTGTTTGAGTCGGCTGTGGGCCTCAGCACATGTGCGCAAACCTCAAAAACCACCGGCTGGTCTCTGCGATTGTAAAAGCTCCTGTAGAACACTCTCAACATGTGCATCCAGGCCTCCGTAAAAGAGCAAACCACCACAAGTTAATGGGACGTTCGGAGCTGCTGCAGTTTCCTCAGTGTTCAGTAGAGGGCACTAAAGAACACCACCACTACAACTAGACAGAAGTGAACAGAAACCGGGATTATTTGGATATAATTCAAAACTATTTAATTAAACTTTTGACACGAGATTATTTTTTTATTTTATTGGTCAACCCCTGCTTTGTTTAAAGTGCTTTCTGTCTGAATATGAGCTGCACGTCTCTGTGTGGAGGAGACTTTTAGCTAGAGCTGCTCAAAAAAAAATCAATTTTCCAGAGTTTGAGCGAGATGCGAAAACCTTTCATGCCCGTGCCAAATGTACAGACGGAGGATCAAATCTTGTGAGATAGATTTTCCCATGTGCGCACAGTCTCGAGGCAATCCCATCCCTATATTGAGGATTTGCGTGTGGCGTGGCAGTCACGTGATTTAATATTTTGGAGGCCATACTGGAGGTCAGGGTTGGGGTTGATGGTGTTATTCAGTTTACAATATAATCATAGCGACTTTAAAACGCGCAAACGACGTAAAACTGTCAGAAATCGCCAGCTCGTTAGATCAGACGTCATTAGAAATATATAAAGCTAAAGTCGTCGTCCTCCTGGGTTGTGGAATAGATCTTGATCTAATAACGACGGACGCTTTGATAGTTTAATCAACGCTCGCTTTGTGCACAACCTCTAGTATCTGTTTTTTCATGTTAGATCTTCTTTAATAGGAAATAAGTGAACGTTTTGCTTTGTCTTTCACTGTGTACATGAATAATGACGGGATGTAATCTGGTGAAAGTGGGTTTTCATTCTTCATACGTACAAGAAAAAAAATACTCATTTCGTTTACTGTAAATCCCTTCTTCGTTTGTGTGGAGATGTTCCCTCACCAGAAATGAAATGTTGACTGCACAGACGATTGTTCTCAGTGGCTCCATCCCGCTCTTTTTATGTCGCTCTCCACCTGTCTGTGATCTTTATCAGCCGAGATCTGATAGATACTCTGGCCTGATTCTTTAGCAGACTGATTGGATGACAGAACATCCAACAGCAACACAGGTCAAAACCAGTGTTATTCAATTCAAATTTTATCGCACACAAATACCACATGTTGGTCCAGATGGTTAGTCTGACCTCTAATATGGCGACATCAACACCAGGTCATGTGGTTTTGTGACATAGATGCGGAACCTTAATAGTGCCATAGGTTTAATGCCATACTGTGGAATATTCCGGGCATACCAGCTACATCTATATAAAGACAGGCAGGTGACAGACCCTTACCAGAAAAATGTCACGATGCAGGTTAACTCTGTGGAGAGGTGACCCTGCTCAGAGTAAGAGTGCATTCTTTTAAAAGGTAAAAACACTGAATGGATACGCAAATAGAGAACATCTCCATGACAACCCTCCCTCTGACATTACGCACAATCTTTGTGAGCTTTAAAGCTGCGTTCAGACCGGGCAAGGCGTCCAGTTTAAACACAAAGTCTATGTGGACGTGTTAAACTCAAATTCACAGAGGGCCAAAAGTCGAGGGCCAAAATAAATATTTATTGAAAAATTTCAACAACATCTGTATGTTTTCTCTTCTTTCGAGATATGGGTCCAGTCAAGTGGTAACGGAGGGAAACAGGGTCAGATTTTTTACATTCAAATGTCTCTTATTCAGAAACTAGAGGAACTATTGAAATAAGTAAAGTATCAGAATGTAGGAAAGAGTTACACTCCAACAGGGTCAAGTTAAACCTGTGATATTCTTTCAAGTTGTTGACAAAAAATTTAAAAACTCATGTCGGTAACGGAGGGAATGAAATATGCAGCACTTTTTGGGCAATAAATCCAAACAGTGATAACTCTTGGTTCTCACTTACATATCCTTAACAAACTGGTTTGAATATTTGCTTCATATAGTTTTCTACCATATGGTACAAGATTAGGTTGAAAAACCTCTTTCTTAATAAAAAATCTCATGACTCAAAAAGTAAGGTCATGGTAACTGAGGGAAAAGTAACGGAGGGAAAATTGTTCAAACAAGGTGCAGGATTTTACATCATTTGTCAACTTTTTCCTTCTGAATACTTTAATATTACTTCAAAATGAAAGGAAACTATTTCTATAAAATATGTCAGTCCTTCCAAGCAAATCTTTATCATTTTAAATAATTTTTTTTTTTGAAAAACCCTGTCCCTTCATCAACAGTTCAAAGATGGAATAACACAAGATATGATGAAATACATCCATTTATTTACATGATTTGCAGGTCTTTGAAATTTGGGAAATAATTTTTGTTCCATGTTTCATACATGGTC